TTTAATGGTTGTTTTATTAGTTAACACATATAAACACACTTAAACAGGCAGCTTAAAGCTAAAGCTAAAGCTAAAGTCACAGTTTCTGTTTATGTGATCGGCTCAGTGGGAAAAAGTAAATGTGGCAAACTTAATGTTTAATTTTTTTTGATGTGTTAAATGTAGCAGATAAATAGAAAGTGTACATTAAACTGTGCAGCAGTGCGCTGACAATCAGCTAACCCTTTTCATACGATGTACATTTGTGTCATAATAATAATAATAATAATAATAATAATAGTAATAGAGTGTGTCTGTAGCGGGGGGCGGGCTGCGTGAGGCTGGGCTGGTAAGGGTGTTTCCCCTCACTCAGAGATAAAGGCTGAGGAAGAAGAGGGTGAGGGTGGGGCGCCGTTATCACACAGAGGAGCTGTGCGGGTTCTGCAGCTCACAGAGAAGAAACTAATAACGCCGTATTAGACACCAACGTTATCAGAGGAACACAGAGAACACGCTCAGGAACAACGCTGCTGAGCGCTCAGTGTGGGGGAACCTTCAGTTCTTCAGTTGGGGAACAGAACTGTACCAATGTTATATATATATAAAACCTCATATCTCCAAAATGGTAACTTTACAGGAGAAGGAAAACATACTTTACTGTTAATGTAAGTCAATGGAACCAGACGTTTTTCCAAATCGTTTTGGGCCGTTTCTTTTGGTCCATTCATCATGAAATTTACAGACAATGTAAAGAACAACAGGCATTTTCACATTATGGCAAAAACTTAGAAACGAAATGGAACAAAAATGGAGATACAAGGTTTTTATATATACATATATATATATATATATATATATATAATTTGCATTTACTCTATGTATGTAAAGTACTGTAGAGCACCATTTAAGGTGCTCAGTTTGATCTGAAGAACATTGTTTTCCCTTTAAAGGAACATTTCGACTGTTTGGTCCTCAGTGAACAGAAACGTTCCTGTACGGAACCTTAATACTGTGATTACTGTCTGTTTCCTCATGCGGAGCGTCAGCCGTCTGTAGATGAATCGCTCCGTTCAGAACGTCTGAGCTGTGAAGCTGCCAGATATTCACAGATATTCCTCTTCATATTAAACTGTAACTAAACCCAAATCAGACTGTGGTTCTGTTTATATGGTCAGTAATGAAGTTCTCAGGTCTGCAGCTGATTCACCGAGTACTCACTGCTCTTTAATCAGTAACTGACCGACAGCTCGGCTTATTCCTGCTTTATTATCATCACTGAAGTACTTTGCTAAAATATTCACAGCAGATCAGACTCACAATTTCAGATGGATTCTGAATAATGTTTAAATGTTGACAACTCTGACTGCTTTATATTTTTACCAATTTTACTCTATTTGATGCATTTAGACACATTTCTATTACACAGTTATAACAACAGAGAACTTTATTACACTTTAACTCGTTTATACTGTAAGAGTGGATCATTATAGCTGGCAGTGATGTGTATTTTGTATATCTGTATTAATATAAAAGGTTTTATGTGATGTAAAGTCATATATTAAACATGCCAATAGGTACAGTCTTGTGCAAAAGTTTGTGCACCCATTTCAATGGTGTTCTGATAAGTTAACGCTCCCTCTGCAGGAAACACACGCAAACATGCAGCTTATCCACGTCCCTGAATCAGTTAAAACACAGCACTGTTACTATTGTTAATAACGTTTGTTTTTGTGTTTAATGTTGACGTATAAGACCCCTTTTAAGCTGGAACAGAGCTCTGTGATGCTGATGATGTTGCTGCTGAGGTTTTATTGGGTTTGATTGCAGTTCTGGGAGGTGATCAGTGATGAACACGGCATTAACGCGGTGGGGGCGTACGAGGGGGACATGGACCTGCAGCTGGAGAGGGTCAACGTCTACTTCAACGAAGCGCACGGTAAGAAGTTCAGCACCAGAAGACTTTAGATTGTCCTTATTGAGGAATTTTGGATCGTTTGGTGATGCAGTCCTGTCCCGCAGTGTCAGAGAAACCACATCTGCAGTTAAACATGTGTTTATGCTGCACATCTGCCCCACTTTCTGTGTTTTATACAGCTGGAGCTTCAATGAGAGCTGCAAAAATGGAATCTTATTAAGTAAAATTATCTTAAATCATCACACACACATCATCTAAACCGCTGATCCTTCTGGGTCGCAGGGATGATCTTAAATATAATCAATAAATCTAACATTTCTCAGGTTGAGATTGTTGTAAGATTATTGAATTTATTTCTATGCATTTTTTACTTGTTTTAAGTTATTTTATTAAGTAAAATTCTCACTATGTTGGCAGATAATTGTGCTTGTTTTAAGAAATGAGCTTAAACCAGCAAAAGTATCTGCCACTATAGTGAGAGAATTTTACTTAATCACTTAAAACAAGTAAAAAATGTCTAGAAATAAGTTAAATAATCTTATAATCAGTGCACAACCACCTCAAAATAAGAAATATCAGATTTTGACTAGATCTAAGATGATTTCACTTGACAAGACATTATTTTTTGCAGTGTCTGAGTTTCAGTGTTTATTAGTTTTACATCTTAAATCTCAAAAACTGTAACTTTACAGGAGAAGATTATAATGGAAATTAGTGCAATAAAATCTTTTTCCAAATAATTCTGGACCGTTTCTGTTTGTCCATCCTGAAATTTTAACACAATGTAAAAAGTAACTGGACTTTTCAAGTTATACAAAAAAGTAAAAGACAGCGACAGTGGAGGTGTGAGCTGTTCGGGCCGCAGTGATGACGGGTTTTGTATTATTTCACACTCAGAGCCACTTTGATGTTACTAGTACTTAAAAAATCACGTGATAAAGACTAGTTCTCTGTAATTAGCTGCTCTCGCTGTGTCCAGGCGGGACGTTTGTACTGAAAATGTACTGATTTCTGTGAGGAGAATAAACTCGGAGAGAAAAGCTCCATAATCAGCTCTGATTTCTCCTTTAGACGTTTTCACACAAGCAGCTCTTTCACCTTATATACGGGTTAAATATCAGTTTAGATGCACTTTACGTGTTTCAGTTTTCCTAAACGTGATCGTGTTCAGAGCTTCTGCGTAATAATCAGCCTCTGTTGTCAGAGGATGAAGCTCTGGAGACTCTTTTTTAGACAGTTCTGTTACAGTTCAGTCTCTGATCATTACAACTGTGTCAATGGTGTGAAATGAAAACATAAAAAAATGATGTAATTATTTAAATTTAAAAACTGCAACATCACAAACTTTACACTGTAAACAATTCTGCAGCTTTTAAACTTAAAGTAACCGGGGTAACTCGAAACATTAAATTTATTGAACTTGTAATATTACGTTAACAAACGTAAAACAAATTATTTTTCTGTTAATTTTATATTACAGCATTTAATGTGAACCTGTCAACTTAAAAGCTGCAGACATCTTTACTGGGTCTGAATGATTTGGGGAAAATGTCTCATTGTGATTTTTGGACTGATATTCTGATCTAAATTGTAATTATTTTCTACAAATTAAATTTCGGGCTAGAATATCCACTTTTTCTGGTTTGAGGCTCAAACCCTGAGTGTAGTGAGCCAGACTGACAGTAAGTTGTAGTTGTGATGTCACAACGAGGGAGGTTTGGTTGCCTCTGATTGGTCTAACTCATCTACAGGCAGTTCACAAACTGAGTTATTGGGTTAAATTTCTGAGTTTTTGATAATGATCATTTTACATTTTGAGATTTTAAAATTTTACTATCTTAAATTCTGATTTCGATATAAAGCGATTGATCTTTCAGTCTTATTGTTTACAGTGTGAAGCTCTGCAGCAGTGCAGTCTGTGTGACGTACACTTCATTCATTATAGCCAAGTTTCCTCTAAAAGTTTGAGTAACTTCATTTCTCAGGGTTTATAGCTCAGCGAAGTGATTCTGACTCTGATTCTGGTGATAAACTGTAGTTAGTGCAGCAGAGAAATGATCTAGTTTATAATCACTTAATTACAGACGGTCAGTGTGGAGATATTTTACTGTAATTAACTATTAAAGCAGTAAAATCTCTGATCAGTAAAAGCTCCTCCAGGCATTGATGGTTCTCGTACGGAGCCGTAGGCTGAGACCGAGACAGAGATTCTGATGTTCAGTTTAACGTTGAGGTTTCTGTTCTCACTGTTCTCCGTCAGGTGGGAAGTACGTTCCTCGGGCCCTGCTCGTGGATCTGGAACCGGGCACTATGGACGCTGTGAGAGGGAGCCGTATAGGACAGCTCTTCAGACCCGACAACTTCATCCATGGTGAGATCACGAGAGGTTCATCACTCCATCTCAGCAGAGAGGAGAACCGCTAAAACAGCGTTCTAGATTCAGTCCACAGCTGTACACACCATACATAGAGCTCTACACTCTTAAAAAAAAGTTCTTCAAGAGTTCTTTAGTAAAGACAATGGTTCTATATAGAACCATGTACACTCAAAGAACCCTTTGCTTGCTTAAACGGTTCTTTGCATCCTAAAATGGTTCTCTATAGAAAAAGGTTCTTCTACTGTTACAAGCTTGACATTGTAACTATAGCAGGATCCTTATTAAAAAGGATCTACATAGAATCATGAACAATCAAAGAACCCTCTTCATGAATAAATGGTTTTCTGCATGGTCAAATGGTTCTTCAGAATAATGGAGAATGTGTTGTATATGGTTTTGTATAGAATCTTTTTGAAAAGGGTTCTACATAGCACCAAAAGAGGGCTGTTGTTATAATAAGCTTGTAACAATTAAAAAACCTTTGTGGTGCCATACAGAACCTTTTACAACACATTCCACATCAGTCTGAAGAGCCACTTCACCATGCAGAGAACCACTTAATCATGAAAGAGGTTCTCTGAGTGTCCATGGTTCTACATAGCACCATTTTCTATACTAAAGAACCCTTTAGGAACCATCTTTTTAAAGTGTGTAGTGCTTTTTACCTCATTATAAATACATTTTTATCACAATATTATAAAAAATTATTTAAAGTGTCCAGATGTTCCTTCTACTGAGTGAGTCCAGCTACTTTAAAGTTCCTCACAGCTGGTACAGCTTTGACCGTCCAGTAGTGCAGACGTTCTGGATCAGCTGCACATAGAGGCAAATGTTCTGTCCTGTGAGGTTAAAGTGTGAAGTGTTGTTGGGAACGAGGCCAAAAAGACGAAACAGGTTACAAACACAGAAGGAAAGTGGGCTTAAAATCCAGCTTTAAAAGATGCTTTATTACACAAAACTAAACTGTGTTATAATAAAAATACTTTAAACATCTAATTAATAACAGAAAATAAGAATTTAATAAGTTACATACAGTATAAAACATATTTGTTCCCTCGATGGGTGGGGTGGGGTGAGGGTACATTCCAGGCAGGCAAGTCAAAAATCTTCAGGTGCAAATTTGGCCCGTGTACAGCACTTAAGGCAGCCCTGGACTAAGGTCTCTGTGTCCAGTGACAAGCGTGGGCTAGAGGGGTATAAAGCCCCCCAGCATTGGGCTGTGGAGCAGTGGAACTGTGTTCTCTGGAGTGATGGAGCTCCATCCAGTAACTTTGGGATGATTATTGATCCAGAACTGACCATCCAACATCAGTACCTGACCTCACTAATGCTCAATCAAACCCTCACAGCAATGTTCAAGGATCTAGAAGCCTTTCCAGAAGAGTAGAGTCTGTTACTGCAGCTCTTACTATTAATACTCTTGAATGCTGCTCTACAAACCTTTGGACGTCGTTCCTATGATGTTATTTCCATTCTATGAATTAACAGGGAATTCCGGAGCTGGGAACAACTGGGCCAAAGGTCACTACACGGAGGGAGCGGAGCTGGTGGAGCAAGTGGTGGACCGTGTCCGCAATGAAGCCGAGAGCTGCGACTGCATGCAGGGCTTCCAGTTTGTCCACTCTCTGGGCGGCGGCACCGGCTCAGGCATGGGCACGCTGATCATCAACAAGATCCGAGAGGAGTATCCGGACCGCATCATGAACAGCTTCAGCATCATGCCGTCTCCGAAAGTCTCCGACACCGTAGTGGAGCCGTACAACGCCACGCTGAGCATCCACCAGCTGATCGAGAACACAGACGAGACCTACTGCATCGACAATGAGGCACTGTACGACATCTGCTTCCGTACGCTCAAGCTGACCACGCCCACCTACGGGGATCTGAACCACCTGGTGTCCTTGACCATGAGCGGGGTCACCACCTCCCTGCGCTTCCCGGGTCAGCTCAACGCCGACCTCCGCAAGCTGGCCGTCAACATGGTGCCGTTCCCCCGCCTTCACTTCTTCATGCCCGGCTTTGCCCCCCTGACGGCACGTGGCAGCCAGCAGTACCGCGCCCTCACCGTGCCTGAACTCACCCAGCAGATGTTCGACGCCCGCAACATGATGACGGCGTGCGACCCCCGGCGCGGCCGCTACCTCACCGTGGCCGGCGTCTTCCGCGGCCGCATGTCCACCAAGGAGGTGGACGAGCAGATGCTGGCCATCCAGCAGAAAAACAGCAACTACTTCGTGGACTGGATCCCTCACAACGTGAAAGTGGCCGTCTGCGACATCCCGCCCCGCGGCCTGAAAATGGCCTCCACCTTCATAGGAAACAACACGGCCATCCAGGAGATCTTCCGCAGGGTGGGAGAGCAGTTCTCCATGATGTTCCGCCGCAAGGCCTTCCTGCACTGGTACACGGGAGAGGGAATGGACGAGATGGAGTTCACGGAAGCGGAGAACAACCTCAACGACCTGGTGTCCGAGTACCAGCAGTACCAGGACGCCACGGCCGACCAGGAGTGGGAGGCGGAGGAGGAGGTGACGGAGGTGGAGGGACCTTCGTCTACAGTAACGAGCACCAAAGAGGAGATAATGACCAAGACAGTGACGGAAACCGGCATCACTGAGTGAGGAACTGACCTGTCTGACTACGTGAAGGACATTTCACAACATCCCTTAAATTCAGTTTAATATCTTTTTATCATTTTATTGCTCCACCTCTTCAACACAAAAGACCACTTACACTTAACCACAATCGCTTTAGACCACGGTGCAGAAATGTTTTGTACAGTGTACAAGAATTCGTTCTTTACAACTTAAAGAATTTTTAGATTAGTGCTTATTTTGCTTCTCATTTACTAAATTAGTTTTATGTTTTATTTGCTGAATGAAGGAAAAGTGTTTTGTAAATAGTAAAATAAAGCTACAAGTGAAAATACACAATTCTCATTTCTGCAAGACATCTTTAAAAGCAAACAGAGACTCTCAGGAAAAGCTGGAAGGCCTCGAGCAGATCCCCTCAGAACTGGCACGTCACGCTCTGCCCGACCGTGCGGCCTGACAGGACACGATTAAACTCAACCAGCTCTGCAGAAACTGATAAGCAGCCCAGAAAAGAGCTTCCCTTCACCGCAGACCACCGGCCGCTCCCGCCGGAGCTAAATTAAACTGAGCTCACAGTTTCAAACTCACAGCAGCACAAGTATCACGGCGCCGCTGAGACGCCAGCAGCTGGGTCTGCTTTCAAAATAAACTCAGAATTTTCTTTATTTTTCCTGATATACGTTGTTGGCAGTGAGTTTTACACATACAAGAAACATCAATGCTACATTATGATTAACCCTTTATTAGAGGAATAAAAACATGTTTTTGTTGTACGTCAGAGCTCTTTTGTCTCACTCACTTTATTTGAACAGAATGCTGGTTTGGCCCATTAAAGACTAAACACTGTAACAGATCTGAGGTTGCTGATATTAGAACCTCTATTAGTGTCTAAGCTGAATTTCTCTGCAGCAAAAATGAAGAGTTATGAAAAACTGATTTTCTCTCACTTAGCAGTGAACAAACACGACTCCAAAACGCTTTGCCATCTTTACATTTTTCACCCAGTGCTAGTAAATGCTCTGAATTTCTAAACTATATAATTCGTTTAGCAGGTAAATATGAATAAAGTTACCTACATGCTAATAGCGAGTGAACACTGCTGCGTGCAGAAATGACATAGAAAATCTGATTGTGTCACTAACCGGTTCAGTGTGTTTTCGTGCTCTTCAGTAATCAGATAATGGGAAACTCCAGGTCTACATGAGTCAGACAGTAATTGGATTTCTCCTTCACAACCAGCCAATAAACTCACAGAAGAAGACACGACGTAAACGTAACGTAAAACTCAAACTTCATGAGCATCAAGTCGCTTTATCTGAAATTATGAACATAAATCATCTAGAAGAATATTTATATATTGAAGAACCCTTTATTTGGTCGAGCGTGTATTCCTTTTCAGCGTCCCTCCAAAAGTGCTGTGTTAAACGCTGCTCGCCGTTTCCGGGACAGCGCTCTGTTTCACACATGCTCAGACTGAGAGAAACGAAAGAAATCAGAGTGTTTACATGACCACTTAATAATCAGATAACTGCAGAAATACGATAATGATCAGATTAAAGGGGAGCTCCACCAATTTTTTCAACATTGCTGTATAATTAAGTGGTTAAGATGTAATCAGAGCGGTTTGGTGTGAAACGCTGTTCTAGATAAACTTACCGAGTCAGAACTGTTCACAGTGGTGGTGATAGGAACCAGACGTCCACCTCTAAAAGCTCCCTCACAGATACATGAAATGGTTATGAATTCACTGCCTGATGACTGAGACACTGTTTTATGATAGTTTAGAGAACTTAAACTCCATTCATGGTGGAGGGATACATGCAGGGCGCTGTGAGGCAAAATAGTCCCCAAAGAAAACTTATTATTTCAGATTTTCCATTATTTTCCATCATCAACATTCCATATAAACTCAGAAGACTCGTGTAGGTTCACTGGTGGTTCTGATAGTAAATAAAATGTCTATATCTGTGTTGTAGTCATGGCGACCCCTGGTTCCTATCACCACCACTGTAAAGACATCTGAACCATTTCACACCAAACCACTCTGAATCTCTCTGATTACATCTCACACACCGAAATTATGGTGGAATTTTGGAAAAATTGGTGGAATTCCCCTTTAAGTGCATGTAAACTCACTTATTGTTATTTAAAAACAGCAGCTCCTCAAACTGATAAAGCCTCTGAACTCCCACAGTGGACAGAGCTTGTCAGTGGGGAATTCTGGTGAGGTCAGTCTGAGGTCAGGTCAGTCAGCAGTGTTTAACTCACATACAGCAACACTCACATCTAAACGACAGCCTGAGCCAGTAAACTGGTCATTTTTCTCATAGAGATGCTCAACTCAGACTCAGACGTCCTTATATGGGCGCGAAGGCAGCCAGAATGACGGACCTCATTCGTCTATTTATATCGAGACTTTGGTGACAGAAAGTTCCTGAAATGAGCTACAGCGACTTGTGTGTTCGTTTAATCCACACAGACGAAACTGACCACTAAAACTCATAACTGGTACATTCCTCAGAACACACGGTCGTGTGAAGAAGTTAGTACACCCCACGAAAAGTTTAGATTTCTGTCTTCGTGTAAAGTGTTGATCAAGAAAAGCGACATCATTTAACAAGTGATATTCAGAGTTTCGTCAACTTTTATACTGAAATTAACAGAAACGCAGGTCCTTGTGTCATAAAAGTAAGTACACCCCTACATACATCACCACACTTAAATTATGGTTCTTTATTAAAGAAAATGGTTCTATATAGAACCATGACCACTCAAAGAACCCTTTGCCTGATTAAATGGTTCTCTGTATGATGAAATGGTTTTTCAGATTGATGGAGAGTGTGTTGTATATGGTTCTATATAGAACCAAAAAGGGTTCTTCAACCTTACAATATCAAGCTTATAACAATAGAACAACACTTTTTGGTGCTATACAGAATCCTTTTCAAAACGGTTCTATATAGAACCATCTACAGCACATTCTCCACCAATCTGAAAATAATCGTTCAAGCAGGACAGGCTGCGCTTCGAAGAACAGACAGTACAGAACATAGTGGCGCCATCTGCTGGCCAAGAATGAGAAAAGGAGGCGAGATTAACATGAGATTCTTCATAATTTATTATCAAAAGGATAAATCTGGGGTAAATTCACTAAGGTCTTCCAGGTGGTCACTAGGTTATCATGCTGGAACAGACACGTCCAAATCTTAAGCAGGATCTTCTGTGACCGGCCCTGGGGAATAAAACAGAACCATATCACAGGGTCACTGTGAAGCGTGCACAATTAATTAGATGTAATGTTCAATCAATTGACCTTCATTTGAACTCTGAGTACACGGAGGGTGATCATTATCGGCAATGTAGACGAACATTTTATTTTTTTGTACAAGGTGACAGAAGTTAAGCAAAGCGAAAGCCATGAGAACAAACAGAACATCAGAAATAAATATTAGGAAACGTTAAAACAAACAAAACACATTAAATGTTAATAACGAAGATACATGCAGTTTCCGGAGATAAAATGGCTTCTTATAAATATTCCGTTCCACCTTAAATGCTGCAACAGTTACATCCTGAGAAGCCAGAACGTAACCTGCAGCATTTAAGGCGGAGCGGAGACTCACATCATGCCGTTTTCACTTTGGTGACTTTCACGCTGGACTCTGCCTCTTTCAGAGCTTCTGTCCGGATCTGAGGCTTCAGAGCTGCCCGGACCACCCTGGCACAGATAGCCGAGTACCTAATGTAGCTGAAATGACAGGAAATATCGCAGATAATCGATTAGAAAATATATACCCAGAAGCTGCCCGAACACAGGGTCACTCAGGCAAGCTAACGCTAAGCTAAAGCTGAGCTAAAGCTAAGCTAACGCTACAGCAGGGCTACCAAACCGGCCGCTTTTACAGCTCCTCTCTCCACTGTTTCGGCATTAAACACGAGACTAAACACGAGTCGCCCGGTTCCCCGACCAGCGCGGTACCTGAGGCCGGCCTGTCTCCAGTACGACACCATGGTAGCGGCGCTGCTCCGGCTGAGAGAGAAGAACCTCGAACGGCGGAACCCAAGGACGAACACGGGGCCTGCCTTAACTGGAAAAACGTCATCAGGAAACGTGCCGTCTTATTGGCTGGGGTAACGTCAATCACAAAACTAACCAGTGAGAGACGTTTAATCGAAAAACTACCCGGAACTTTATTTATTTTATTTTTGTATTATTTTGTTGTGATATTTAAGTTATTCTATTATCAGTTTTATTTTATTGTGTCGACAAAGTAATCAAAACAAACGAAGATGAAAAAATGACACAAAACATAAAAATAACACAAATAGGAGTAAAAACGAAAAAGAAGTCCAGTCGACTAATAACTAAAAGATATTTCAGCGATTTTCTCGACTTTTTACTGGAACTGTTTATTGAGTTTATATGTATATGTACGTTATATGTTTATGAGCAGGTTATGGGTATATATTTTCAACTTTAAAGGGGAATTCCAGTCATTCTCTGTGTAATTAAGAGGTTAAGATGTAATCAGAGCGGTTCAGAGTGGTTTGGTGTGAAACGCTCTGTTCTAGATAAACTTACCGAGTCAGAACTGTTCACAGTGGTGGTGATAGGAACCAGACGTCCACCTCTAAAAGCTCCCTCACAGAAAGTTCCTACATGAAATGGTTATGAATTCACTGCCTGATGACTGAGACACTGTTTTATGACAGAGAAGATTTTGTCCTTAAAGTACATTCAGGAAGGATTTGAATATAGACATTTTATTTACTATCAAAACCACCAGTGAACCTACACGAGTCTCCTGAGTTTATATGGAATGTTGATGATGGAAAATAGTGGAAAATCTGAAATAATACATTACATTTTTTTAAAATTATGTCTTTATGTATTTACTTATTTACTTTAACGTTTTCTCTAGAACGCAGCGCTTCACACCAAACCACTCTGAATGACTTTGTTTACATCTCATCCATTTAATAATGCAGAAATTTTGATAAATATATAAGCTCAAATATATTGTGTTTAAAGACAGAACAGATATGAGCTGAGGTTCTGAAAGGTTTCACAGTCACTCAAATGTGTTACTACATACCCAAAACAGGAGTGCGCACTACAGCTAAGATTAAGGGTGAACCACTCTATTTGAGACAATGCGCTGCAGTTTGATTTGGTTCTTCTACAGAATTTTCCCTTCATATTACTGAACACAACGGTGACATCTCAAAGTGTGGCATCTCAACTCCACAGGAAAGTAAAATTAATTTAGGTAAATTAGATATTTAGGTAAAAGGCGGCACGGTGACGCAGTGGGTAGCGCTGTTGCCTCACAGCAAGAATGGCCTGGGTTCGATTCCCGGCCGGGCGACCAGGGTCATTTCTGTGTGGAGTTTGCCTGTTCTCCCCGTGTCTGCGTGGGTTTCCTCCGGGTACTCCGGTTTCCTCCCACAGTCCAAAAACATGCAGTTAAGCTAATTGGACACGCTAAATTGCCCCTAGGTGTGAATGTGTATGTCTGTCTGTCTGTCTGCCCTGCGATGGACTGGCGACCTGTCCAGGGTGTATCCTGCCTTCTGCCCAATGACAGCTGGGATAGGCTCCAGCACCTCACCGTGACCCAGTAGGATAAGCGGTTTAGATGATGTATGTATGTAGATATTTAGGTAAATAAGATTATACTCTTTCAATTCACATAATTTCATACATATTATCAAAACACTGCACAACCCATGAATAAATCACTTAAAATCTGTTGCATGTTTCTTGTGTTGCTTAATTACATGTGCAGGGTCATTTAAAGAACTCATATCCTGCAATTTTCTTGTATTTTAAGCTCCACTTACAGCATCTATTTGAATTATTTGATTTATTTTCTTATCCTTTACAATTAACCATGCACCAACTGTGCCTTTAAGACTGATAACCTATCCATTCAGCCTGCAGCAGTTCAGCCCCGCCCATTCAGCCTACAGCAGTCTAGCCCCGCCCATTCCGTATACAGCAGTCTAGCCCCCCCATTCAGCATACAGCAGTTTAGCCCCACCCATTCATTTTACAGCAGTTTAGCCCCACCCGTTCATCTTACAGCAATTTAGCCCCACCCATTCAGCCTACAGCCGTTTAGCCCCACCCATTCAGCCTAGAGCAGATTAGCCCCACCCATTCACACTGAAGTTATAAGAGATGTTTCAGTCAGAGGCACAGTACAGGGCAGCCAATCAGAGCACAGTAACAAAAACAGCCTGTTTAAAGCTGCATTATGTAAGATTTGTTTAACACTGAAAGAATGACAGGAGAAAAATGAATCTGCTAAAACCTGCTGATCTGGCTCTGCTGTGAGTCTCCCAGTAAAGCCTGAAATATTCAGTCAAACGTCAGAGCTGTCGGGTCGGGTCGAGTCGGACCTGCCAGAATTTTTCAGACCACATCAGACGTCTTTACATAATGACATCACAGACTCAGAAAGAAGGTGCGGCTCGTTATGGGCTGGTTAGCTGAGCAGGGCTGGTGCGGCGTCGCTCACAGTGTATGTAATTGTTGGGATGGCAAACCAAGCCAGCCTCTGCAGCGCCACCAGCTGTCAAAGCAAAGAAACGTAGAACTGAAGAGAGTCGTCCTGAGCTAAAAGGGAGAGCGACGGAGCTCGAGCTAAGACCAGAGTCAGAAGCTAAAGCTCAGCTTTTCAGAGGTGACGGCAGCTCCGTGACCCGAAGGGACTCAGCAGAGATGCTGAATTGGCTTCTTTATTGCTGGACAGGTCAGTTATGTTGGTTGTCTGTTAGCTGCTGAAATAGCCAGCCAGATTGTTACTGTTGTGGAATTTAACAGTGTGTTTTCTTGCTTCAGAGTTCGTCCTTTATTGTTTAATAAACCAGGCTAGCTGTTATTCTCGGGTAATTTCCAGTGCCACCTTTGTTATGTCTCCTTTTATTTTTGAATCTTTTTTATTTGTTTTTTTGTTCTGTCTCCTTTGTTTTGACCCATTCTGTGTTCAGGCCATAACAGAAAAATAAGAGTGGGCCCTCTCAAGTAGCAGTAATGCTAACCAATCAGCTCTCAGTAACAGTAACGCTAACCAATCAGCTCTCAGCAACAGTAATGCTAACCAATCAGCTCTCAGTAGCAGTAATGTTAACCAATCAGCTCTCAGTAGCAGTAATGTTAACCGATCAGCTCTCAGTAGCAGTAATGCTAACCAATCAGCTCTCAGTAGCAGTAATGTTAACCAATCAGCTCTCAGTAGCAGTAATGTTAGTGTCCTGCTTTGTGTCCCGTTTGCTGTAGTAAAGGAAACATACAGGTGAGTTTTCTTTGTTGTTTTAGTGAAACTCTTTCTTCTGCTGTCTAAACTAAAGGAAAGTTCTGGTTCAGTGATTAGAAACTATTTTAACTTTTCGTTTTTAGCCGTTGAGCTCCATTCACTTCCATTCAGTGAGGACTCGCTCGCGGGCGCCCTCTGGTGTTTGGCAGTCCTGTTTTTGATATAACGGGGGAAACAGGAAAAGGCCAGGCTCCTCATAACCGGCTCTGCCTGAACCTCTCCTGAGATGGTGTCTTGGTGTCCTCTTATACAGCAGCGCGACCCCGTGTGGTCAATCATGGACCTGCACACAATGCAACAACAGAAGAAAACACACAGAATGGCCACAGAGAGACACACGGAAACGCTACTAAGAGCTGGAGTCGTAACATCTTCCAACATTAAACATACACATCTAATATAAAACATACTTGGCTAATATTGCCTAAACAGTTATCTGAGGAATAGTACTGTTAGTTAGCTTCCAGTTATCTGTGGTGAAGCAGGTAACAAATCCATCATTTTCCCCTCAGTTACAAAGAGCAGCAGTTCAAATCAATCCGCTCGGGACCGCAGCACAACCCACAGTACAAAATGTTCTTCTGCAGTTACAGATTTCCACCAGAGAGGTCGCCGATTCCCTAATTTGCCAAACTTACAATGTGCAGCCTTAGTTGTGAGGGATAAAGGGAGGTTAGAATTAACGATTAAAATGAATTGAGATTGGTTTGGGTACACACAAACGTCATTATGGGACTTCAGGACAGATGGGAGGTGGGGGGTGTAGGATATGTGCCCTTTAATTTCTCAAAAACTGCATTAGAAATTTTTACACTGATATCAAATTATAGCACAGCAGCTCTGAGTTGGTCCTGTACTTGAAGACCTTTGACGGTTTATGACTTTTAAATCGAATCCTGTCTAAAACGAGCCGACACTGTGTACATAAATCCCTAAATAAGCTCTGCGGGGGGTATTTAATTCTCAATTAACTGGATAATAAACCAAAACAGAAGACTGTCCACTATGAACGTCCATTTAGGGCCAAACCGAGTCCTAACTGAGAAGCTCCACCGCCTTGTTTAGATTCTGCGATCTACAGATCGTCGCGCCACTCAGACTCTGATACGAAGATGATATTAAGATCAGCGATTCTGCGCCGCCAGTGTCAGCAGTGCGATTGCGTCAGTACGTGACTCACGTCCGTGTGACGTTCTGACGTCACAGGGCCTGGCTAGTGAAGAGGAAGAAACAACAACAACCGCGTTTGGCCCGTTCCGCCTCTCCGAACCCACAGAACCGCTCGGAAATCCGGACTCCAGTCGAGCTCTCGGGAGAGTTTTGAGGCTCAGCATGTCTCTGTTCGGGAAGCTGTTCGGCAGCGGCGGGAAAGGCGGGAAGGCACCGAGCGCGCAGGAGGCGATCCAGCGGCTCCGGGAGACGGAGGAGATGCTGACCAAGAAGCAGGACTTCCTGGAGAAGAAGATCGACCAGGAGCTGCTGACGGCCAAGAGGAACGGCACCAAGAACAAGAGAGGCGAGTTTACCCCGCAGGGGCGAAGTCTGCTTTAGCTGCCAGGAAGGAGGAAGGATTGACGAGGCTGGAGTTCGCTTCCTCCTCGCCAGCTTGTCGTTCCACCTTAGATGGTGCGCCGTTTAAGGTGGAACGGGGAAATTCGAACAAGTAGCGTTAACGCGGTGTAAGTTCAGACGCAGCCCACAGAGAGCCGGAATATAACAGCTGATAAGAAGCTGACCTCATCTCTGTCCCCACTGACTTTAGCGTTCTAGCTAACAGGCAGGTAACTCCGCTGTTTACCTGTCAGCGCTGCTAATGCTAACAGTGCTAATAGTGCTAATAATGGTGTAGAGGACTGTTTCCGTTCGAGCAGCGCTGTTTTTATTAAACATTAGGATCAGTTAGAGACCGCAGAACACAGCCGACCCGCTGACCAGGGAATACGGATACTTAATAAACAGATCGAGCCGTGTTGAAGTAGTTTAGTTTAACCGCCCTTTAACTTAATGATAACTCGGATTACGGTAACAGTTTTAGGTGTAAACGATATGGAAACAAGCATAATATCGCGATATTGTCAGTCGAGACATTTTCACGATACACAGTGTTTAGTTTTGATGTTTGAAAAGTTGGCCAAAATGGACTAGTAATGCTTAAAGTGACTTCATTTCGCTGTTTCACCTCAGATGCTGCTAAATGCGGTTAAACAGGAACTTTTTGTTGCTCGCTTTGTAGTGTAACATGCAGTTTAGGGTTCTTTAAGTTTATAAGACTATCCGGAACGCGAAGAGTGATGGAATCAGTCACTATAATGGTAAATATTGTCATCGCCTGCCCTGTTCAAACCTCAGATGTGACAGAAATGACATACTCAAAAAAGATGGTTATTCAAAGGATCTTTAGTAAAGGCACTGATTCTAGATAGAGCTATGAGTTCTGTATAGAACCATTTTATGCTTAAATGTTTTTTTGCATGGTCAACTGGTTCTTTAGATCTATGTAGCACCAAAAAGGGTTCTGCTGTTGTTTACAGTGTGAAGTTTATTTTCACAATGTTCTGGTTAGAATCATATAACACATTCTCCATCAATCTAAAGAACCATTTCACCTCATAGAGAACCATTTACATATAAAATGGTTCTGTACAGAATTCATGGTCATAGAATCAGTGCCTTTGCTAAGGAACCCTTGAAGATCCATTTTTTTTATTGTGGTGCTGAATAAAGGCCTGTTTAGGTATCAGAATATTCTGTGTTCTGTAATAAACAGACTGAGTTTTCGGCTAATGAGTCCAACTTTCACTGCAGTCTAATTAAGAACATCTCACAGCTTCTCTGCTTCTGCTGCTTCTTCAGGTTAGAGGTGGGCGATATGGCAAATATGTAATGTCGCGATACTTTAAGAAAGTTTTGCGATACACGATGTGTCACTATATTTATTTTTTCAGACATCTGATCAGCTGGAACAGAGAAAAAGAGCCAGTAGAGCTACATTTTAAAAAACACTATGAAAAACTGTGAACTGTGATTTTTATTCAGTACTAAATCAGTTAAACAGACTAATTTAACTCTCTTTATAATGAAACGTGCAGTTGGTCAGTGTCTACAAGCCCTGACGATAAACACAATATGATCAGAAAAGCATATTGTGACGTAAATGATCATGGTAATAATGTATATTGTCACTTTGCCCAACGCTAACCTCTTAAAAATGATGGTCCTCCAAGGGTCCTTTAGTAAAGAAAATGGTTCTATATAGAAACATGAACACTCAAAGATCCCTTTGCATAGTTAAATGGTTCTCTGCATGTTCTTCAGATTGATGGAGAATGTGTTGTATATGGTTCTATGGAGCATCTTTTTGAAAAGGGTTCTATGTAGCACAGAAAAGTGTTCTTCTACTGTATACAAGCTTGACATCGTAACAATAGCATAACCGTTTTTGGTGCTACATAGAACCATTTTCAAAAAGGTACTGCATAAAACCATCTACAGCACTCTGCAATCTAAAGAACCCTTTAATCATGCAAAGCGCTCTTTCAGTGTTCAAGGTTCTATACAGAACCATTTTCTTTACTAAAGAACCTTTTGAAGAACCATCTTTTTTAAGACGGTTTATTCACAGGTGTTCTTTCCGTGAAATCCTCAGTGTATTGATTACCCTTGTGTTAGTGACCGGAGCGCACGCCCAGTCTGATCTGATTATGGTGGATTGATGTTTTTTTTAGGGCTCCAGAAGAGCTCAGAATAACGAGAACCTCACACACATCCCAAGATAGACGCCTCACTAGACTCCAGTTCCTGTTTAAAAGCACCACTAATCAATAATTTAATATTTAATTACCTGTGACAGTGATGAGTGCTGCACACGTGGGTGAAAAGCCCATCGGGGAAAATACCTGTGTGTCAGGTGAGGCTTTAGAACGCCTGCTGGGGCCAATCAGAGAGACAGAGAGAGAGAGACAGACAGACAGACAGAGAGAGAGAGAGAGAGAGAGACAGGACAGCACAAGAGTAACAAGAAATTCTACTCCACGTTTTCTGTTGAAGCTCTGTTTCCTTCATAAAGGCCTGAAATGAGAGAGACGTCTCTGTTTAAGCGCCACGTTTTGTGGCGTTAATTTAATAAACCATTCCAGGAAAAAAGTGTAAAAACACTTCTTTAACACTTTTTCTGCTTAAAAACACTGGACCTCGTTCACCAACCGTCCTTAAGAAAGAATTTCTCCTTAAAACCCACTTACACAGTTTTCACCAGTGTTCTCTTATGTGGGGTTTGTTCTTAGGTAAGAACAGAATCTACACACACTCAAGAGCACAAAGGTGAGAACAGTTCTGCGCTTTAAGAACACGACATGAATCTGACGTAGACTTTTTCTTAGAACCTTTCTCAAGAACACATTTAAGAACAGACTTAGGAGGATATTAGAGAACGAGGCCCAGTAATTACTCTGGAATGAGAGATCAGTGCTGTGTAAATCTTTAGGCTCCGCCTCAGAATATAATAAAACATCATGTATGAAGCAGTATTTTATAAACACGCCTGCAGAAAATTGAATTCTAACAACGTGCTAATAATTTATTTTAGATTTATGTTTCCATTTTTTCACAGTTGTTTTTGGATAATTTCATCTATATTTATTCATCTAAAATATGAGTTTTCTTTTCCAGAGGGAGATTCAATACGTTGCTGTGCTTCTTTAGGCATTAAAACTATTTAATCCCAATTTTTCTTTCTCTATATGAGTACAAAGATTTCACTGCTCCAGCAGCGTCATCACTTTCAGAAACTGGTTTGTAAAAGTTATTGAAAACATAATAATAATGATAATAATGCTAATTATAATAATAATAATAATAATACTTTGACAAAAAGTGAAAGACGCTTACAAATTTTTCAGAACACAAATATAAGAGACAGACATGGACACAACAACACAAAACCACAGGATCCCTATCAGAGACTCTTGGTACAGAGCTAAATGAAGGCTGTGGATAGTTGTAACAGGAGAGAAGAGATGGGTTTTAAGATTAGTTTTAAATGTGGAGATTAGAATTAGCCCGTTGGATGTGTGGGGGAGGAGGAATTGTGAATTTGAATTGTGTGCGCAGGTTTTATTTGTGGTCACTGGTGAGAAACTACAGAGTCAAAGTAGCATTAATTAATCAATTTCACTCAATTATAGAAGAAATAAAAAAGTAATAATAGACAAATTGATAAACAGTTAATCATGTAGAGAAAACTAAGGTGGCAAACACTCTAAAATATGGTTCTTTATTAAAGGAATATTTCTATGTAGAACCATGCATTCTTTATAGAACCACTTGCATGCTTAAATGGTTCTTTGTATGGTGAAATTGTAGATTTCAGATTGATTGATAGATTGAGTGATATATATGGGTGTATATAACACCAAAAAGAGTTTTCTGTTGTTACAATGTAAAGCTTGTATCTGATAGAAGAACCTTTTATGTGCTATTTAGAACCATCACATTATAATTCAGTCTGTCGAACCATTTAAGCACGCGAATGGTTCTGTATAGAACTTTACTGAAGAACCCTTGAAGGCTCCTCTATTGTGAGAGTGCACTGATAGGCTGCTTTAAATGCTGCGTATGTGATGCTGGTTCTGTCTCTGTTGTTCTAGCAGGTCTAACAGAGGCTGTATTGAACAGAACAGCTGATGGTTCTGATTATCAGCAGGAAATCTGAGCCGCTGTTGTTCCTCTGATGTTCACCTGCAGTACAGTCTGATTACAGGATCAGTAACAGGCCGTTTGGTGGTCGTGTGTCCTGAGTGGTCACTGTGTCCGTCCTAATGTGGTTTAATTTCGTTTGTAGCTCCTCACTGCAGACTCGCTCAGGGGCCTCTCAGCATCAGTGGATCTGGTCATGTGACCAATTACATCACCCTCAAAAACACGTTCATAAGAAATCAGGACAGCCTGTGGTTTGATTTGTAGCTCAGTCTTCAGCAGGAAATGCATTAATAGCTCATTCGGCACTTCACAAACTCAAAACTCAGGCTCAGTCCGTTGTTGCTGGTGGGATTGAAGGAGTTAATCTCAGTTTACTGGGTTCTCAGCTCAACTCCTGTTTGAGTTTAGAGATACAGACAGTCTTAGAACCCTGGATCAGCTCTGCAGCTTCACTGTCCAGCAGTGTTTACTGCTTTTACAAAGCCTGGATCTTACTGTAGGTTATTATATATTACAGTAGGTTATTATATATTACTGTAGGTTGTTATATATTATTGTGTGTTATTATACATTATATATTACTGTCGTTACTCTGTTATTGTATATATTGTTGTTACTGTGGGTTATTATATATTACTGTAGGTTATTATGTATTACTGTAGTCACTCTAGGTTATTTATATATTATTGTTTTTACTGTAGGTTATTATACATTATAGTTTACTGTAGTTACTGTAGATTATTATATATTATTATACAATATTATATATTGCTGTAGTTACTGTTAGTACTAATAAATGTGTAATAAACCTACAGATTTTCTGGTGTAAGAATAATAATAATATTTACATTAAAATAAAGTACGGTGGATCAAACTGAGTGTTTGTTACAGCTGCAGTGTTTTGTCCTGTTGCTCGCTCAGACGGCTGTGTTGTGCTGCAGTCTGATGGCCCTGCAGACGCACAGAGACGTTTGATATACACTAAACTCAGTTTCAGTCAGATTTAAAGAGAAACTCTTTAAAAGCTTTATTTCATCTGAGTCTTCATTGTGTGTTAAACCTGTTATGCATGACCACATTAGACACTAAAACAAACCCAAATACGTTCACAGTCCATCAGTTTTCTCTTTGGCTCATAGAAGGAAAGAAAGAAAGAAACAAACAAACAAACAAAAAAGGAAGTAAATAAATCAATAAGGAATCATGGGTGTTGATTGAGCACAATCACTGCATTAGAAATACCTTAATCAGTCCATTAACCTCATTGTTCATGTATTGTGTGTGAAGTGAGGACTGATGTGTCGTGTTTGCTGTGAAACAGCTGCCCTGCAGGCGCTGAAGCGTAAGAAGCGGTACGAGAAGCAGCTGGCGCAGATCGATGGAACCTTGTCCACCATCGAGTTCCAGAGGGAGGCGCTGGAGAATGCCAACACCAACACTGAGGTCATCAAGAACATGGGCTTCGCTGCTAAGGCCATGAAGGCTGCTCACGACAACATGTACGTTACTGATACTTCAGTCTGATTAACTCAAGTTTTATTAACGCTATTGCAGGTACGGTACTCTGGAGTTAAAGGGGAATTCCACCGATTTTACATAATTCCCCATAATTCAGTGTGTGAGGTATAAATAGAGATTCAGAGTGGTTTGGTGTGAAATGGTTCAGATGTCTTTACAGTGGTGGTGATGGGAACCAGGGGTCGCCATGACTACAACACAGATATAGACATTTTATTTACTATCCAGAACCACCAGTGAACCTACACGAGTCTTCTGAGTCTATATGGAATGTTGATGATGGAAAATAGTGGAAAATCTGAAATAATAAGTTTTCTTTGGGGACTATTTTGCCTCACAGCGCCCTGCATGTATCCCTCCACCATGAATGGAGTTTAAGTTCTCTAAACTATCATAAAACAGTGTCTCAGTCATCAGGCAGTGAATTCATAACCATTTCATGTAGGAACTTTCTGTGAGGGAGCTTTTAGAGGAGGACGTCTGGTTCCTATCACCACCACTGTGAACAGTTCTGACTCAGTAAGCTCTGCTTTAGTATCACAGATGAGCAGGTTTAGAGAGATGGTCAGTTCAGGGTAATGTTCACAACATAGACCTTTAGTTCATAATTTCTTTAGAAGTGTATAATTTGTTTGGACCTGGTTGCTCCAATAAACAGTAACCCAAACATTCTTTGAGTTCAGTCTAGAAAGAGACGTTTGATTAACATTTAACTGCTGCAGTGATAATGACAGATCAGAGCTCAGTCAGGGTTTAAAAGCGTTCTTGTAGCTTTTATGAGGTAAAATAATGTCAACAAACCTCAAAATTCAGTAAAGCAGCAGAATTAACAACCCAGTAAAACCTGGAGAGTCTCACCTGTCTGTGTGTATTAAAGCTCTCAGGATGTCCTTTCACACAAGGTAAAACCTGCTGTGTTTGAGTGACGATTATAAACAGAAACGATTAATTTATTAGGTGAATTATAAATACTGTCAGGTGTTCTTAGACAAAAGTATGTGGACGTGCATATTTTATCACATTAACAAGTTCAGGTGTTTCAGCCGCCCCCATTGCTAACAGGTGTATAAAAACAAGCACACAGCACATTAGTGGCCACACAGGCCTTCGTCATCATCATTGTTATCTAATGAGGGACAGGGATGATGCAGCCTCACTTCCTGCTCTAAAAGACAGGGGCGTGGCTAAAACAAGGCCCCACCTACAGACTAAAACTCTGTGTTCCAGTAGAGACATGAAGACCTTGTTTTTTATTTAAAAATGAAACTCCTTATACATGTAAATCTTCCAGCTTCTCCTGTAAAGGCCTGTAAGATCTAAAATGCTTGTTGTCGTTAGTGACTCCGTCTGTGTCCTGTCATTCCTCAGGGACATTGACAAAGTGGACGAACTCATGCAGGACATTACAGAGCAGCAGGAGCTGGCGCAGGAGATCTCAGACGCCATCTCCAAACCTGTCGGCTTCGGGGAGGAGTTTGATGAGGTGAGATGAAGCAGGCAGATGTTCCCGATGTTTGTTAGTGTTGCTGATTCCATCTTTTCTAATTGTGTCTCCTAAAAAGGCTGACGGTGTTACAGAGAGATGCGCTTGAAAATCCACATACAGAAAACTGAGCAAAGTGCTAGATCATTATTTTATTTCCTAAGCCTCATATTTTACAAACACAAAAGATAAAGATCGGATTTGTATTATAGCAATAAGGCTCGTTTATCTTTCACTCGTTTCTGCTCACTTTTCTCTTTTGAATATTTACTGTAATGTTCTGCTGTTTCGTGTCTGTTGATATTAAATTCATTACAGTCTTTTTAAAGTTGAGGCTCATTTGCTGTGGCTCTTGATGAAAATGTCTCAGTGTTTAGTTAGAACTTTTTGCTACCGGGCCACTTAACTTACCACCACTTAGCTCTAAAACAGATCCATAGGCCACTTAAACTCTGTCTGTGGGCCACTTTTGGCCGTGGGGCCTGACTCTGGACACTCCTGTTGTATCCCATTTCTGCTAATAGATCCCCCTGAATCTCACACACTGCACCTTTAATGTCCTGCCTGGATACATAAATATAAATGTAATTAAATAAGCGTCCGTGTCTGTGTGCTGTGTTGCAGGATGAGCTGCTGGCTGAGCTGGAGGAGTTGGAGCAGGAGGAGCTGGACAAGAACTTGCTGGAGATCGGAGGCACAGAGAATGTACCGCTGCCAAACGTGCCCTCAACATCCTTACCTTCCAGACCAGGTACGTCACCCACACCAGCCACACACACACACACACACACACACACACTCTTGTGGCCTGTTAGTGTATCTGCCTGTACAGAGTGTTTAAGGCTACGTTCACTTTACGAGGTTGAAGTGGCACAAATCTGATTTTCTGCCCTAATGTGACTACAGATCTGATGTTTTCAGGGCCGTGTGGACACAAATCTGATCTTTTCAAATCCGACCTGAGTCACTTTCACATGTGGTCCTACATCCATCGGATGGGATACGTATCAGATTCCATGCGACCTTAATGTGACGCTCAGATCGGAATCCATGTGCTTTTTTCCACTTTTCCACTTTTTCCCATCATTCAGCGTTACCATGGCAGCAGCGCCGAACAGACGTTAAAGCCTGTAAACAGTGGAAAAGCAGCTCGTCTCACCTTTTTCTCCTTCGTCTCGCTCTAATAATGAAGCTGAGAGCTGATCAGAGTTAATTATCTTCTCAGCGAAGCTCGTTCTGCTCGTTAGTTTGTGCTGATGATGAACGTGATTCATTCACGTGACGTTACTGAGTAGGATGAGCTCATGAGGGTCATTTCAGGACGCCGGTTCGTCACACTAATGACAGATTTGAGTCACTTACCTAAACAAGTGTGAACCATCGTGTCAAAGAGATTGGATTAGAGCAAAACACAGTGAGACCTGTAATCTGAACGTAGCCTTGGTTGACGCTGATGCAGATGTAAAGTTTTTATTGTGTTTGTAATTACAGCAAAGAAGAAAGAAGAGGAGGATGAGGATGATATGAAGGATCTGGAGGCCTGGGCAGCCAATTAATACCTGCTGTTCTCCACACACACACACACACACACACACACACACACACACACACACACACGCACACTCCACATACAGATTACTGCAAACGAAAGACTTTAAGGTTTAGTGTGACGTGTTTGGACCTGAGAAGATTAAGATGAATTTATAGAAAAGGAAACAAACAGCACCGCAACTACGACTACAACTATGGAACACACTACTCTAATAAATCCTGCCGCGCTTTTACTGTCAGCAAGTCATCAAAGCGAGACAGAGGCCACACGTCTCTCGTCTGTGGACCGTGAGGATGGAAACCTGGAGGAGAAAAGGCTTCATGTAGAATTGATCGTCTATTATCTTATATATTTATCTGATAACACTCCTATAGCAGAGATGCTCTTTACAGCATACAACACAATCTGATACGATTTTCCAGCGTTTCGGTCAGAGTGAATGTGTGGTATTGTTTTTTTTTGTTTTTTTTTCTCCCCAGCTGTTAATCCGGGGAGTTCTGGTCCAGATTCCTGCCCAGTTTGGTGATTTTCCTGCTCAGACACTCCTGATTACATTTCAGTCGTTCAGGGTTGAGTCGTTCTGTCTGAGCAGAGGAATCAGGAAGCTGCGCTTAAGTCCGACTCTCCGTTAAAAGAACACTAATTTCTTATCGAATGCACTTCGGCTCCTGCATGGTCTCGCTGCATCATGATGAAAATACTGAGGTTTTTATTGAAACAGGGACTGGGCTGCTGAGTAAAGGCCATGAAGCAGAGCTCTGTGATCGGCTCTTCTCCTCACGAGTGTCGGTGAACGACCCAAAAGCGTTTTTCGGGACGAGAGCTGTGGATGAAGGTCCGCTGGCTTAACGTGTGAGTGTCTAAACAGGTGTCGGTGGTTCAGATTTATTATTTAATATCATGTTTTACTTTACAGAGTCGTTACTTTAATATTCTGGGTTCATCCTGGTACAAAGGTTACTTTATTTTATTAGGTTCTCTCCTTTTCTAGAGCGAATATAAACTCATTTCACGTCTGTGTTCCTCAGAGAAGCTCTGTATGAGGTTGGGATGTTCTGGAGAAGCTCATTTCTGTGTGTTTGCTTGTAAAAGGTTTGGTTTTTTGTTTTCCTCATAAACAGCCTCGCTTTCTTACGTTCTCCTGCCCTGCCTTTCGATGTCCTTCTAACCGTATGCCTAAATTAAAGGTTTTGCCAAATGACCCCTTTTTTCTGGACTTTTGTTGAGCTCTTATTTTGCCCCTCATTAATTTGATCAGAATCATTTCAGCTTCATAAATAAACAGATTATAGAAGTGTGAGCTGTGCTGTGCATGTCTTGGTAAGATGAAGTGGTGAAAACCAGCCTGATGGATTATTAATCTGATTTTTAAAGCGTGACCCGTTCAAAGCGTTCACTGAGCTTCCACCCAGTTCTGTCCGAGTCTGTCCGTCGCTGCACGGTCAGCAGCTTTAGTGTTTTCTTTTTCTCTCTGGTTAAACGGAGGACGAACCCAATCCTAATGCTGTCTGGGGTGATGCAAACTGACTTGTACAGAATCTGAAAGTAGCTTTAATGCATTTGTATGTTCTCATTACCTTGTTGTTGTTGTTGTTGGATTTATTATTACTATTAAAATGTATTGAATATTTTCACTGATCATGTATTTCCTGCGAAAGGTAGCGTTTCCATCAATATTTGACCCTGCTTTAACCCCATAAAGGTTCTGCAGTAACCACACAGCTCTGTTCTCAGGGGGAACCAGGGGCCGGATTCACAAAAGCTTTCTCAAGAAAAAAACTTGTGAAGGTTCTTAAGAAAAACACTAAGACTGGACCTCGTTCACCAAACGTCCTTAAGAAGAAATTTCCACTTTAAACCCACTTACGCGATTTGTACGAAGACTCTGACTTCTCTTATGTGGGATTTGTTCTTGGGTAAGAACGGAATCTACACACACTCAAGAGCACAAAGGAGAGAACAGTTCTGCGCTTTAAGAACACGACATGAATCTGAGACTTTTTCTTAGGATGTTTCTCAAGAACACACTTAAGAACACACTTAAGAAGATGTTATAGAACAAGGCCCAATGTTTTCTTATGTCAGCTGTGTTGCATTTTACAGTTTGCCATAAACGACATGAGATGCAGTTCAGATTTGTATTATTTAAGACTGTTTCTGAAGACACGTCTGAAAATGAGCCTGTTTATTATCGCCACCGTAAAAGACGATGTTTGTGCAGCTGCATGAAGAGTTTCTGAACTCGTGGAACGACTCGGACTTCTGCAGGAACGGCTCCTCAAATATTACATCACTACATAATAAGAGCTCTTTAACACACAGTGTACACACTGATTTACACAACATCATTAACATTAACAAAACAAACAATCCAGCCCACTGAAGAAAGAACGTAACGTAATATTACGTGGAATTATGTGGTATATACCTATTTTATACATCAGCCCAGCGTCAGAAACACAAATAACATTTCTGTGTTTGGGAATCAACTTATCTGAAACAGGAAATGTTTCATTTTTAGTTTGATAATAAATATGTTGAATTTTCAGAGAATGTTGGGCAGTAAAATCCACTGAAATCACTAAACTGAACTCAGTATTGACCCAAATTCACAGAACAGCATCGACTGTCACACCTGAACAAACACGAGATTCTACTGCAAACGAATCAACAATCCTGAACGGCTCTGATTCATAATGCACACAAATATCATAATAATCAGAGCATCGTTTACTGCACTCTTAAAAAGACGGTTCTTCAAGGGTTCTTTAGTAAAGGAGATGGTTCTATATAAAGCCATGAACACTCATAGAACCATTTGCACACGGAAAAGGTTCTTAAAGTTGATGGAGAATGTGTTCTATATAGCACCAAATAGGGTTCTTTTATTAATACACTCTTGATGTAACAATAGGAGAACCTTTTTCAGAACATCCAGAATGTTCTCCATCAATCTGAAGAACCCTTTAATCATGCAAAGAACCCATTAATCCCGCAAAGGGTTCCTTGAGTGTTCATGGTTCTATATAGAACCGTTTTCTTTACTGAAGAACTCTTGAAGAACCAACTTTTTTAAGTGTGTGAAGTACAGATTACTAAACATTCAACATGATCTTGAAATGTGTGTATTTATAAATAACTATACAGTGAGTTCCGGCCCCGCGAGCTGATTGGTTGAGAGGCGCTCCAACTGTGCTGTTATTTCACCATAACATCACAGGTTTTCACAAACACTGTATCGCTCCGCTGAGACACCGTTGCTAAGCAACGACATTGACAGCTGTAGGAGACGCTCAAGCCGTTTGAACGTTTTTACTTCTTACTTTGCCACAAACAGAAAATGGACACTGTTAAGATCACATTTGACCGACAGCTGATTTGGTCAGACTCTGAAGATGAGACGGCACTAAACTCCCAAACTGTCAGTTGGTCTGTGTGGAGCTGGAGAACGAACTGCCGGCTGTGCAGCGAGTGGGCGGAGCTCGTTACTCTGACGTAGCAACGAGCTGCTCGTTAAGGACAGAAGAAACATAACAGACAGAAACATTCCTGAAATAAATTCAGGGTCACTCAGAAACAGATTTAAACTGGTTCAGTCTCGGTGGTGACTAAACCTCACCAGCTGCCGTGTTTGTTTTTTGAAAAGAAAATGTCCTATTAAATTAAGGTCCAATCAGACTGAGTTCTGTAGGAACAGATAAGAGTGAGTGAGTGAGGTGATGTACCTGGACAGAAATGTCCAGTACAGTGGACGTGTGCAGCGAGGAGGACATTGTCACACAGTGAATTAGTGATTGTGCATTGCTTTGTTAACACTACTGTTATCCGATTTATACATTATAAAACAACATATTTCCATCCCTCGTTTCTCCCGTAGACTCCTATTTGTTTTTGCCCCCACAAAGGCCTAATAAACTGTATGTCCTCACTCAGGGCAGGACCTCTACTGCACAGCCACACTGACCCGCACTCCTCTATGTGTCGCTTTTTATCCCTCCTTTCTCTCACAGACTCCCATTCATTTTCAACAGCTTGTAGCTACAGCTTGGCAACTCCCTACGAACGGGGGATACCACAGCTACATGGGATACCACAGCAACCGCCTAGCAACACCTAAGCAACCGCCTGGGATACCATAACAACTGCCTAGCAACCACCTGGGATACCTTAGCAACCATCTTGGATACCATAGCAACGTACAGTGAGAGATTACAGGCTGCACAACTTTTGGAAAACTTTGTGTAGAACAATTAAAGAGGATGCAGTGAGTCAAACTGGGCCTCAACTGCATATTTCACACTGTACTGAGTAATTTGTGCAAAATCTTTATTATAAACTATTTATATGGGGGGGGTCCAAAGTCTGGCCCCAGGGACAAACATGGCCCGTGTCTGTTTTAGAGTATGTTTTAAGTGGTCCACCTGCCAGTGCGCTGCAGTTCTTCCTCCCACCTGAAGGTGGCAGCAGTGCTGTAAGGTTACAGTGTAACACCACACTGCAGTAATCAAGTTAGCTAAAGTTTAAGAGCCTTTCTTCTCTGACTGACCTGCAGCTTCATTCACTGACCACATTTAGTCCAGTCTGCAGCCATAAAGCTCAGACTGACACTGAGAGCCTCAGATTTAGATGCAGAAAACGAGCCTCATATTTCAAAACTGTAATGAATTTAATATCAACAGACATAAAACAGCAGAACATCACAGTAAATATTCAGGAGAGGAACTAAAGCAGCTGCAGCTCCGAGTCTCACAGCACCGACTTCATATCAGAGCAGATTCAGCAGGACAGTGAATATTAACCCTTTAAGGAGGATCAATAACGGCTGATTATGCTGATTAATCTGCTGTTAATTAAAGCCTCGAGCATCTCTAACTCAGTGATGGGAAACAGCAGCTCTGATTCTGAGCACTGATGATCTGAAAACTTAGTGTTTTGAATTGTGAGTAATATTTCTGCCCTCAGGTATTATTTCAATCTGGCCCTCTGTGATAAAGTTTGGACACCCCTGATTTATACTATTACCATCCTGCACTGTGGACGTTATTCTATCATTAATAAACACTTTATAAACAAACTGTTCCAGCTCAGACGTGTTTAGGCCTTGTTTATCACAGGTCTAATGTCATATTGACCCACAGAGGCCTGTTATCAGCTACAGGGTCAGGTCAGAGGTCAAGGATTGTGTTCAGGTTGACAGTTTCCAAACCAAGGGAAACTCCACTGATTTTTTAAAAAAAATTGTCTGCATAATTAAACTGTTGATTAACCTCAGACTGGACACCTGGAACATACACATTATTATTATTATTATTATTATTATTATTATTAAAGAGAATTCCACCAATTTTCCAAAATTGTCTGGATAATCAGAACCATGTACAGCACATTCTGTTTTTTCTTTCTTTCTTTCTTTCTTTCTTTTTTTTTCTTTTTGTTTAAACTTAATCAGCTTTATATTGATTACATCTCTTTGATGCTTCCAGGGTTCTTCAAGGGTCCTTTAGTAAAGACAGTGGTTCTATACAGAACCAGAAACATTCAAGTAACCATATGCCTGATTAAATGGTTCTCTGCAGGGTGAAATGGTTCTTCAGATTAATAGAGAATGTGTTGTGTATGGTTCTGTATAGCACCAAAAAGGATACAAGCTTGACATCATAACAATAGCAGAACCCTTTTCAGTGCTGTACAGAACCAGTTTCAAAAAAGTTCTACACAGAACTATATACAACATCCTCCATCAATCTGAAGAACCATTTCACCATGCAAAGAACCCTTTAAGCATGTACATGTTTTTTTGAGCGTTCATGGTTCTATATAGAACCACTGTCTACCAATTTTCTTTTTTAAGTTTGGTTCTATCTTATTAAAATGGTTCTATGTAGCACTAAAAAGGGTTCTGCTATTGCTACAAGCTTGACATTATTCCAATAGAAGAACCATATACAGCACATTCTCCATCAATCTGAAGAACCATTTCACCCTGCAGAGAACTGTTTAAGCATGCAAACGGTTCTTTAGAAGTTGGTAGTTCTACATAGAACTATTGTGTTTACTAAAGACCCCCTGAACCATCTCGCTTTAGTGTGTACTATATAGCACCAAAAAGCTTGACATCAAACAACAGCAGAACCCTTATAGAACTCATGGATCTAAATAGAATGCTTGCCTTTACTAAAGAACTCTGGTACATACACACACATTATTGTTATTGTTATTATTATTATTGTTATTGTTGTTGAAGGGGAATTCCTCTAATTTAAGTCTAAGTCATTCAGAGTAGTTTGGTGTGAAACGCTCTGTTCTAGAGCCAGAACTGTTAACGGTGGTGGTGACAGGAACCAGACGTCCACCTCTAAAAGCTCGATCACAGACATGAAATGGTTCGGGTTCGGGTTGAATTCACTGCCTGATGTCTAAGACGATATTTAACAAACAAAACTTTTCAGAGCACTGCACATAAAGAACTGAATTTTGTAAAATCGGTGGAGTGGTCCTTCGAGGCCTGTTCGGTTTGGTAAGATTCTGACGGAGTTCGAGTTTCTGCTGAAATCAGTTTCTTATAAAACGCTATGATACTCGTGACGCGCCCAACACCTTCCCTGCCTGCGATTGACGCTCATTGGCTCCCGCGCACCAATGAGCAGCGAGGGGCGGGGCATCAGGAGCAGGATCTCATGAATATTAAATCCAGGCGGTTGTACCTTCTTATATTGAAGTTCCCGGCTTGCTTGTTTCCCTCTCTGCTGAAGTCCGTAACCGGGCCGGGATCCAGTCCGTTTCGAACCGAACCAGCGACACGAACAAGAACCGGAAATGTCCGAGAAGCTGCCCTTCAAAGTCGGTCAGTAGTGATTAAGTTCAGTAAACACAGATCATTCATTTTTGCGAAGCTGAACTTGGCTTCCTATTCGAATCCGCCGTTCCACCTTAAATGGTGCTGCAGTTACATTGTGGCGCCTCGGGCGTTATAATAACTGTACCATTTAAGGTGGAACGGCGAATTGGAATAGGAAGCGAACTTAAGCGCCTTCTGAGCTAATTTGAACAGCACAGACGCACTTAAATCAAGGCTTGAGGCCGCTAATGTGCACAAATGTTCAAGTCGCTGGTTGTGGAGTTTTTCTGCGCTAAATTGGGAATTATTAAATTTAGCTCGCGGTATCGAGCAGCTCCTCGGACTGAATCTCGGCCCGCTGTTTTAAAGCGCGTACAAAACATGCAAACACACAAGATTATTCGTGCTGAAGACTCGGCCGCTTCTCAGACAGCATGGTTTCATTCAGACAGCCATGGTGGAGAGTTGTAGTCTTTTTGCGCCTCTTGCGCATTCGGCGTAAGGCATCGGCGAACTACATTTCCCATAATGCAGCGTACCAGTTCGCTGTCAGGTTCAAACGCATTATTAAGCACGTGGCTCAACAGAATGACTTTTCTAATCTGTTGTTTGTTCAGCACAGTTCTCTGTTTCTCTCTGTTTATTTTTTGTTCTTCAGAGGTTCTTTAGTAAAGACAGAGGTTCTGTATAGAACCAGGAACACTCAAATAACCATATGCATGATTAAGTGGTTCTCTGCATGATGACATGGTTCTTCAGATTCTTTTAGAATGTGTTGTGTATGGTTCTGTATAGCACCAAAAATGGTACAAGCTTGACATCATAACAATAGCAGAACCCTTTTTTGGGCTGTATAGAACCAGTTTAAAAAAAATTCTATTCAGAACTATGTACAGCACTTTCCATTAATCTGAAGGACCATTTCACCATGCAAAGAACACTTTAAGCACGCACATGGTTATTTGAGTATTCGTGGTTCTATGTCGAACCATTGTCTTTACTAATGATCTTAAATATGTACGGTTCTATCATATTAGAATGGTTCTGTGTACCACCAAAAAAGCGTTCTGCTATTGCTACAGGCTTGACATCTTAACAGTACACTCTTAAAACAGATGTTTCGTCGGGGGTTCTTTACTTAAGAAAATAGTTCTGTATAGTACTATAGAACCAGGAACACTCAAAGAACGCTTTGCATGATTAAACGGTTCTTTGCATCGTAAAAGGTTTTTCAGATTGATGGAGAATGTGCTGTAGATGGTTCTGTAAAGAATATATATTTGAGAAGTTCTACGTAGCATCCTAAAGGGTTCTGCTATAGTTACAATGTCAAGCTTGTAACAGTAGAAGAACCCTTTTTGGTGCTATATAGAATTATATACAGCACATTCTCCATCAATTTAAGGAACCATTTTACCATGCAGAGAACCATGTAAGTATGCAAATGGTTCTTTGGATGTTGATAGTTCTATGTAGAACTAGTGTCTTTAGTAAAGAACCCTTTAAGAACCATCTTGTGGTATGGTTTTATATAGAGCCTTTTTGGAAATGGTTCAGCACCAAAAAGGTTCTTCGAGTTCTTTAAGAAAAACACTTTTTGGTTCTGTTTTGAACCATATACAACACATTCTCCAATCTGGAGAACCACTTCTCCATGCAGAGAACCATTTAATCCTGCAGATTGTTCATCATTCTATAAAGAACCATAGTCTGTACTAAAGAACCCTTAAAGAACCGTCTTTGTTGAGAGTGAGCAGTTGCGTCACGCAGTAGCTGATATGAAAATGTGTAACTCAGTTAGTTGGACTTTGACCCGTCAGATTGAGAGTCCAGAGTTCAGTTCTTAGCAGAGAGGTGACGAAGCAGAACCTTCAGTGGGCACTAAGGAGCACGGAAGGGGAAGTTCACCTCTTTAGAATTCCTGAGTAGGTCGGTAGTTCAGATGTATTAGCAGCGTAAAGGAGAGGAGCTCGTATCAGACTGAAAATCAGTCACTACAGTGGAGAAACGTGAAACATCACTGCCCCACCGTGACCTGCAGAATACGAGCCAAAATCAGTGTGAAAGACCCCCTGGTGTTCGGGGGTCCCACATTGTCTGACTGCTAACTCACTCACCATATCAGTGCTGATAGAAAAGCTGAACTTTAGCATTTCTCACACGATAAAAAGCTGCTTCAGTGACTGTGATGTAAATCCATGGCGTCTGATCGGCTTGTGATTCAGGATTTTCTTTTGTTGCGTTTCGTCGATGTTTCCTTCGATTCCAGTGTTCCTGTAGTGACGTCATCAGCTGAGCGATCACAGCTGAGCTGATTTCATCGAGTGCGTAAAAGTCGTGCATGTTTTGAGTTTGTGGTGCTCTGATGATTTAAGGTAGGAAATATAAGCGGTCATTACTGTAGAGGTGGGCGATATGGCAAAAATATAATATTGTGATACTTCATGATACACGATATTTATTTGTCAGACATCTGATCAGCTAGAACAGAAAAAAGAACCTACATAAAAATACTATCAAAATATTTGTCACTAAATCTGACAACATATGCAACATGATCAGAAAAGCATACTGTGACATAATTTATCATGACGATATTTATTGTCATGTTGCCCAGCACTACATTAAAGCTATAATTATGCTGACTTAATTATACTGAGTTCTGCTCACTAATCCAGGTTCACAGTGCAGTTCTGTTCACACTGGAGTGCGAGTGTGAACTGGATCAATGTGCCGGTTCTAAAGTTCTGATAATGAAATGAAGATAATCCAGTCAGGTGGTTTTTATTGTGGAGACTCAGATCTCTTTACAGTGGTGGTGATAGGAACCAGGGGTCGCCATGACTACAACACAAATATAGACATTTTATTTACTATCCAGAACCACCAGTGAACCTACACGAGTCTTCTGAGTTTATATGGAATGTTGATGATGGAAAATAGTGGAAAATCTGAAATAATAAGTTTTTCTTTGGGGACTATTTTGCCTCACAGCGCCCTGCATGTATCCCTCCACCATGAATGGAGTTTAAGTTCTCTAAACTATCATAAAACAGTGTCTCAGTCATCAGGCAGTGAATTCATAACCATTTACTGTAGGAACTTTCTGTGAGGGAGCTTTTAGAGGTGGACGTCTGGTTCCTATCACCACCACTGTTAACAGTTCTGACTCGGTACGTTTCTTTAGAAACCAAACCACTCTGAACCTCTCTGTTTGGAAAATTGGTGGAGTTCCCCTTTAGTAATAATGTATGTGGCAGTTGTTGGAGGGGCTGAGATTTGGATAGGAGTCCTTAGACGTGTGGGTTTTAAATTACATCTGGAGAATTCCAGTTGTACATTCTGTAAATGTGATCCAGTGACCTTTAAGAGACAAGACCACCCCCCCCCTCACCCCGGCACAGCTGTCTGCATGTCAAGTGACGTATATTATAATTCATGAGCAGAACATCAGCGTAGAGCAGATGACGGTGTCTCGGATCCGTTACGCTGATGAGCTCCTGCTGCTGTTTATCTGTGATTTTATGAATATTAAACACCGATAAAGACAGAAAACGTGGAGAGACTCTTTCAGTTATTCTGCTTCTAAACTGTGGAGCTCAGTTCAGCTTTTATTAGACAGTCGAGCTCAGAGCTCACTTTTAATAAACATCTGAAAATGCAGCTCTTTAACTCAGAGCTTCAGTAAAACTCTGCGTCTCGTGGTTTTTATCTTCTAATTTGATCTGTTTGATTTTCTTCTGATTCTAAATAAATACTTATAATTTCTTGTAGAAGTGTTTTATCACCTGTCTGTAAAGCACTTTGAGCTGCCACTGGTGTGAAAAGCACTATTTAAATAATAATTATTAGTAGTACGTCAGTACTGCTGAGAATAAAAAGAAACATGTTGTTCAGTAACACATGACTGATTACAATTACAGGTGTAACTTCCTGTCAGGACAAAAACGCTTATCTATATATAGTTGTTTGTTTTTCTCTTTTGCAATCCTGATGATGTCATGGTGATAAATGCTCTAAAATGACTCAAACTTTTACATTCACTTCTATGAAGAGTTATAATTTAAAAACAGGTTAAATGTGATTTATTTTAGAGTAGCAAATGAGTTTTTGAGATGTATTTAAAAGTAAGTCAGAAATCAGAACTGAATAGTTTGAATGCTGAGCAGCTGCTTTGCAGCAGAATCAGACGACTGTAAACATGTTGATGGAGATGCTGATGATACAGGACTTAATCGTTTATTCTCGCTGAATCGCGATACTGAGCGTCTGTTAAAAACATCAGAAACGGCTCGTCAGTCACTCTGAGCGGATCAGACGGAGCTTCACCTACAGCTTCTGTGAACTTGTCCTTCAGGTTGTTGTTCTCAGTTATCCTCGGAATCTTGTTCTCAGTTATCTTCGGAATCCAGAGTCTCAGAGCGGCTCTTCCAGAAGAGTGAAGGTTGTGGAAATCGGGGCTGAACAAACATGACGTTCAGTGAAGTCGTCTGATTTTGTGATGATATAAGCAGCGATAAATAACAGTTAAGGGGACATATTTTGCTCAGTGTTTATTATTTTGTTTTTGGCTTTACTAGAACAGATTTACAGCTTCAGTGTTCCATAAACAAACTATTTCCCTCATACTGTTCACCTCTATTCACTCTCTGTCTGAAATACTCTGTTAGAGCTCCTGTGCCTTTAAGCCCCGCCTCCCAATAAGCCCAGGGTGCTCTGATTGGTCAGCTTGCCCACTCTGTTCTGATCGGTCTCCTCCAGAGCGGTTCCGCTCTCCACGTTCCACCCCCATCCTGCAGTCTGCAGACGGACCCTTCTCGCCTGAGCAGCTGTAACTCCGCTGTGGCTGTTTGAATAAAGCATAAAGATATTAATATCTGCTGAGTTTGAGTTTGTTTGTGGTTTTATGCTGGAATTAATGTTATTTTTCATTTGTGAAGTTCTTAAAAAATGTCTTCAAAAAGCACTGATTTTATAAACTGCTGGTCATCACTAATCTGACCTTTATAATAATATATTGTTGTCTGTCTGCCTGCCCGTCTGTCTGCTTGCCTGTGTGTCTGCCTGCAGCTGATATCAGCCTGGCGGAATGGGGGCGGAAGGCGATCGACATCGCGGAGAACGAGATGCCGGGGCTGATGAAGATGCGCGAGCTGTACGGGCCGACGAAGCCGCTGAAAGGAGCGCGTATCGCAGGCTGTCTGCACATGACACTGCAGACCGCCGTGCTCATCGAGACCCTCACTGCGCTCGGAGCCGAGGTGAGGACAGACCCCGAGAGACGGTTTTAGGGCTGAGCCAGATTTAAACCACACGGAACCCAAATCCCTGACGGCTCTCTGACCAGATTAGTGGCCTCTCAGTAGCTCCGCTCCGTCCACTACATCAGCACACTGTGATACTGCTGATCAGGTTTACTGATAGATTTCAGATTATATTTGATAACGAGTATTATATTGATCATATACTGCAGGGCTCCTGTTTCCAAGCAGTCTGTTTTTAGTTTAACGCTGTTCCGTGTTCTTCCTTGTTAGTATCCAGAACCGGACGGTTAACTGCAGTGAGTGACTACAGAGTGATGTTTACTGACAGATAAAGTTTCTTTCTGTAAATGTTCATGTTCTGATTAATGTTTATAATAATGTATAAGATTCCCTTTGGTGTCATTTTAAGAACAAAACGGTCCAACCAGACTTAACGAACCTATTTAATTTAATTGAAAAGCTTTATTAATGCTACTTAAATATAGTCTGATATTGTATCTCGCAGCCCTGTGTGTGTCTAAAGTGTAAAACAGTATCGAAAAATGTAAAAAAGAAATGACGTTGGAATCAGTATATCTGGGGATTATCCATATAAGAGCATCCTATTATAGTAAAGTGGGCGTGGCTTATGCATGAGTGCATCTCCTTAGAGTAGAGGGGGTGGGGATTTCGCCTATGAGCCCATCCTATCAGAATAGAGTGGGTGCGGATTATGCATGTGAGCGCATCCTATCAGAGTACGGTGGACTATTTTGCCATACAGTGCCCTGGATATTATGTATCCCTCCACCATGAATGGATTTTAAGGCCAAAATCTTCTCAAAACTATCATAAAACAGTGTCTCAGTCATCAGGCAGTGAATTCATAACCATTTCATGTAGGAACTTTCTGTGAGGGAGCTTTTAGAGGTGGACGTCTGGTTCCTATCACCACCACTGTGAACAGTTCTGACTCGGTAAGTTTATCTAGAACAGAGCGTTTCACACCAAACCACTCTGAACGACTCTGATTACATCTCAACCACTTAATTATGCAGGAATTTAGAAAAATCGGTGGACTTCCCCTTTCGGCTTTAAGTGGGGAAAGTTAACTTTGTGAGGTAAAACACAGAGTTTGTGAACTGCCTGTAGATGAGTTAGACCAATCAGATCCAACCAAACCTCCATGTGTTGTGACATCACAACCACAACTTGCTGGCAGTTTCGGCTGAAAGATCAATCAGTTAATTATCGAAATCACAGTTTGTAAGAGTGAATTTTTTTAATTGTAAGAGGTGAAAGTTTTGTTAAAGTCAACATGGAAACGTTGCAGGTTTTGAGCTTCTGATCTGCTTTTAGATGAATTTGACTGTCAGAAGCAACTAAACAGTGACATCACAACCAGAGATAGGCTGGTAGACTGTGTTCAGTGTTTGAGCCTCAAACTGGAAAAAGTGTACGCTGGTCTGTTTAGACACAAAAAGAAATCACGGTTCAAATTGAATAGCAGTTTAAATCGAAACACAATACTGGTCAGAAAAATCGGCGTTAGATATTTTGCTATACCGTCAGTCCAGCACAGTGCATTCAGGGGTCGAGCCTCAAGCCAGAAAAGTGGATATTCATGTTTCACTGCTCAAAAAACAGACCTGAACATTAATTTATAGAAAGTAATCACAATTTAAATTGCAGATTCAAAATTAGTCAGAAAAATTGCATTTAGATATTTTCCCCAAACCGCTCAGCCCGGCTGCGGTGCTGATATCAGTGGTTTAGGGTCAGTGTCTCCCAGGAGGCTGTGATAAAGCCTTCATTCCTCTCTCACCCTGTCTGTCCCTGTGTTTCCTCGGTGGAGCCGCGTTCACTCTCAGGGCTGATCAGGTCGATCAGGTCACTCTGGGACAGAGAGTGAGACAAAAACACATTCTGAGAATTTCACTAATTATTGTGAGAACAGTCAGACAGTAACAGGTACAGCTTTACCTGATTAAAGGATTACTGTATAACTGTATGTCTGTCTGTCTGTCTCTCTCTCTCTCTCTCTCTCTCTCTCTCTCTCTCTCTCTCTCTTTCTTTCTTTCTTTCTTTCTTTCTTTCTTTCTTTCTCTCTCTCTCTCTCTCTCTCTCTCTCTCTCTCTCTCTCTCTTCTCTCTCTCTCTCTGTCTCTCTCTCTCTGTAGGTCCAGTGGTCGAGCTGTAATATCTTCTCTACGCAGGATCACGCTGCAGCTGCCATCGCCAAGACCGGCGTTCCAGGTACCGTCTCAGTATCTGCTGAGCTCTGTGTCTGATACAGATAAAGACAGGACACTATCAGTGGTCAGAATAGTTTATTGAGGCCATTCTGATCACAGTTCCCATCCAACTGATCGAGGTGGGTAATCCTGTAAATAATCCGTTAAATAGAAGAATAATATCCGTGTAAACGCCTGTATCTGATTACATTCCCTATCAGAAAGTTTAAGTCCGTTCTGATCATGTTCGTCGCGTCGTTATACCGTTCAACATGGCGGAGCAGAAACTGGTCTGCAGAGGAGACGAAGTTTATGCTCTGATCTTTAAAAGACGGCGGTGGGACGGACGTCCAGCTTATGTGTCTCAGAACACGACGTCTTCCTCTCGGCCTGCTTTAATAAGGACATGTGAAGGACGTTTTCCTGAGTCTGACATCATTTTAAAGCAGTTAAAACACAAGCACTGCTCACTGCTGCTCGTCTCACTGTGACTGGACTCACGTGATGCTGGTTGTCGTGGTAACATCTACACGGAGTGATACTCAACACAAGTGTGAAATTTAGGTTCTGATTAGTTGTAGTGAGTGTAAATAGAGATCAGAGTGTTGAGTAGAGTGAGGTATAAACACCTCAGTCTCAGATTCAGTCAGATTGGAGAAAATCTCTATGTAAACACAGTCAGTGTGACTGAAGGTGCTTTATTATTATTATTATTATTATTATTATTATTATTATTATTATTATGCAAATGTTCTTATCTGCCTCACTTTATTTACCTGCAGCCCAGATCTCACACAGTCACAATAATCAGTTGGCTGGTTGCCAGTGTCATGTTTTTAGCAGAAATCTGCCGGTTCTGATCCCTACAAGTTTAAAAAAACAAACAAACAAAAGATACAAAGATAAAAGACTTTGATCCATATTAATGTTCTTTCTCTTATTATTATTATTATTATTATTATTATTATTATTAGTAGTAGTAGTATTATTATTATTAGTATTATTAGTAGTAGTAGTAGTATTATTATTTCTCAGAACATTGTGTTTCCCACTTTCCCCAAAAACCATCCAAACAGCAGTAACTCCTGCAGTGAAGCACTGAGAGCTGAAACAATCCGGCTGTTCATTATTCAGAGCTCACATAAGGAGCTTAACACCCCCCAAAGTAACACAGACTGTCACTCAGGTAGTTAAAGTTCATGGAGGTCAGTCTCGTGGTCCTCTCCTCTCCCGCCGGACCACCAGGCTGAAGAAACTGGCCTCCCAGATTAAGACACAGTTCAGTAAAATATCTCATTCCTTTTTAGTGCTGTTCTAAACTCGTCCTGATCTGAAGCGTCTCCGAGTGTCAGATCTGGGATCAGATTTGAAGCTGACTGTTGATTATTATATGCAGTATTTAGTCATAAATGTATTCAGGAACGCTGATCAATACAGTATAATATCACAATATTGTGAGGTTCAAATATTTTAAATGTAATACATTTTAAATAACTAATGTTTTTAACGCGTGTGAAGCCTGTTGGACTGCTAGATCACCAAAACGCACTTCTGTCTTGATCCACAAGTTGGCGCCAAATCCACACAGGAGAGTGAGGAACTGCATTAAAACACACCGTCCAGAGACGGTCAGAGTCCAGTAAGGTAAAATGTTAGTCAGCTCACAGAGTAAACACATCTGGATATGAAAGCAGCTGGTAAATGTGAGCTGAACGTACTGAACTTAAAGCTGGGCGATATGGGAGAAATGTAACATCAGGATATCAAGATGCACAAAACATTTGCTTTTGTAGTATAAATCTGTGAATCTCGACCTGTCGAGAGTAAAAGAGAGGACGGTTCTGTAATACGACCCTGGTTCTTATTTACCGTGTTCAGTGTACGCATGGAAAGGCGAGACGGATGAGGAGTACGTGTGGTGCATCGAGCAGACCCTCTACTTCAAGGACGGTCAGCCCCTCAACATGATCCTGGACGATGGAGGAGATCTGACCAACCTGGTGCACCAGAAACACCCCAAACTGCTGGCTGGTGAGGTTTTAATCTGTTATTTAATATTATAGGTTGTAAATACTTTATTTCCTTAAAGCTCAGATTCCGGAGCTGCTGAAGCTTCACACTGATCTGCTCTGCACGCTGTGTGGTTTATGGTTTAAGTTAACTTAATTGCAGAAACTGTTTTGGGGCTGTTCCTTCTTATCACCACTAGGTGGCAGCATTACACCACTTTTTTTTGTCAAACTTTTTCTTCTCCTTTTTTCAGGAATCAAGGGTCTCTCTGAGGAGACCACCACTGGTGTTCACAACCTCTACAAGATGCTGAAGAAGGGTGAACTCAAGATTCCTGCCATCAACGTGAACGACTCTGTTACGAAGGTACCTGCAAATCTTATCAGACTAATCAGATTAGATGTTAATCTACGTCTGGATTTGTCATAATTTAGTTCTCGCTCATCTCAACGGTTCCAAACTCACAATAATCTCTCCTACATGTTTGGAACATGCATGGGTTCTGTGCCAGTTTCAGGGTTCTTCTTAGAACCTTAACATTGTGTGGAGGTTCTTTAAACTCTAAAATGGTTCTTTACACCCAAACGTCTCATTCACAACAGACCTGTCTTATATTAGTGCTGCAGAGATTTGATCGGATGGTGCTCAGACTTTTAGATCTTTAGGTCGGGTCCAGTTTTCATGTCCAGTTCAGTGTAAGACTTCCTCAGTATTGATCTGGAACGTGTTCGTTTAGGAGCCCATATATGTTTTATTTTCTTTTATTTTGAGCTACACACAGTGTTTCAGTTGGTTTATGTGCCAGAAACAGTTCATTTCTACATGATCATTTTCCAACCTCTGCTCTGGGTTATATATGTTAATGAGCTTCAGAGCAGGAAGTGAGGCTGCATCCCTGTCCCTCATGGCCACATGGTGAGCAGTTAGATCCCATTGTTTTGAAGTAAATGAGTCCCAAAGTCTGAAAATCAGTGTGGAACATTAAGAACCGTCATATTTTCTGCAGTTCAGCACTTTTTAGTGTTTTAATGTAAAATATGATGATTTTCTATGTGAACAGCTGTTCAGAGTTGTGTTTGCTGGTCTGTACTGGCTGAGTTTCTGAGCTCAGAATGAGCTGAAACAGACGCTACTGAAACAGACGCTACTGAAACATTTGGTAAGATTGGGTAGTTATGGTTGTTTTTAGAATGTTCAATCATCAGTTTTAATAAATAACCATAATTAAGGTACAGGTTCATATAAATTTCCTAAACGTGTTCAGCTCATGCAGAATGATCCGTGTACGGTCAGTGAGGTGGATCTACTGTAGAACGAGCTCCTGGATCGATGCTGACCGACAGAGTCAGAAGCAGTGATGAGTTTGAGAATAAATCATTAAAACGTCCTGTTTGGGATGTTAAACCTGATCTAACCAGGAAACAGAAGCAGTGCAGAGGTGTCGATCTCTGTGCTCTGAATGCAGAAACGCTCCGTATCAGCCGGACAGTTTAAACTGATGGTGTTTGTTTCCTCTTTTTCTCTCTGCAGAGTAAGTTTGATAACCTGTACGGCTGCCGCGAGTCTCTGATCGACGGCATTAAGAGGGCGACGGACGTGATGATTGCCGGGAAGGTGGCCGTGGTGGCCGGATACGGTGACGTCGGGAAGGGCTGCGTTCAGGCTCTCAGAGGGTTCGGTGCCAGAGTCATCGTCACGGAGATCGACCCCATCAATGCCCTGCAGGCGGCGATGGAAGGTGAGCGCTGTCCTCGCTTTGTTGTTTACTGTGTGTGTTTGTTTACTGCTGTCCTGTACGCTGTTAAACCTCCTGCCACCCCCAAATATAAAACACATACTGAATAATATAATACTGAGTAACCAGCGTCTTTCAGATCTGCTTCACCCGTCATTATAATAAATGTTACTGTAAACACCTGCGTTCTTGAGCTGCTTTCTTTTGCGGGCTAACGGCGCTCCCTGCTGGAGAAACATCACACTGCAAGTGATTTCCAAAGCTGTGCCTGCACACTTTTCATATTAAAAACAGTTTTGTCAAAGTGGCGTTTTCATAATTCACCACCAGGGCACTGAATCTGTATCTCACACAGGTTATATTTCTCTGTAACGATATTCCAGGCTTTACTCCCAGTTTCTACATTTTATAAGTGTTTATGTAGAAGACATCAGCATTGGAGCACTGCTAGTTTCTTTACTCTGCGCAGGCTGATATCGAGTGGTGGTGAATTTTAATTCAACTTTTCCCCTCTCTCTGCTAATTAACTGTACAGGCTATGAGGTGACCACAATGGATGAGGCCTGCAAGGAGGGAAACATCTTTGTGACGACCACCGGCTGTGAGGACATCATTCTGGGCAGGTGTGTTTCTCTGTTCCGAGTCAGCAGCACAAACACACAGACAAACTCATGAACCTAAGAGCTCAATGCAAAATGAATGTCAAGTTTCTAAAGCTAACACACACAGCAGTGAGGAGCTGAACTTTACCCTCCTCTGCTGTCACTGCAGACTGGCAGGGTCACCTACAGAGCAGCGCTGGTAGCTGTTAATGAAGTGATGCTCTTTTTATTTGAGGGTCCCATTTCAGAGGAAGATTTAACCACTACCCTGTAACTCAGTTCCAAGGGGCAACACTCGAAAACAAGGGGTAAAAATAAGAAATGGGGCCTAAATACTGTTTTTCTGTAAATGATGATATTAAACACTGTTAAAGCTCCGCGACTCATTGATCAGAAAGAGAAGAGACTCAAAGGGCTTCTTGTAGTTCATTTACTCCTTTTTAATGAGAGGAGCAGCAAGCAGAGCCTCAAATTCCTCCACCGACACACAAACACCTGCAGAACCGCTTGTTATGCAGCTTCCGCTCCTGCGTGAGGTGGTGGAGCTCCCTGTGTTCTGCTGTAGAACGCTGTGTACTCGCTGTGTGTCGCTTAGTTGCAGAGCTGAAAGGAAAAACCATGAGTTAATCATCGCTGCTACTCATGGAATCATTTCTTCCTCCTGCGTTTTCACAAACGTGAAAAAAAGTGTTTAGATAAAAATAGTGTGAGACTTGGTGTGACGTAAAAATAGGATTTGTTTTGGGGTGAAAAGGCCTTTAGACCGATGGAACATACATAGACTTAATACTGAGAGATTCTGGGTTCTTCCTCAGCTGTGAGTACCGTTACACTGTTCTGCCACAAATAAGCACAGATAACATCAACTCAACAGACAGGTCAGAACACTCTGACTCCCTCTCCTGTGCAGTGACCTGTGGGCCAGTTAGTCCAGTTTGTTGCAGAAGGAGCGACTTTAGCCTGTAATGAGTTAAAGAGGAAAAGAGAGGAACAGAAAGCTTCTCTCCTGGAGTTAGCGTTGGCTATTAGCCTAGCATAGAGACTTAAGGTGGCGCCGCAGTGCGACCCATTCTACGGTCAGTGTTTGTCTGTGAGACTCTACACAGCTGTGTGTTTAATTTTACACACCTGTTAGTAATGAGTGTGGCTGAAACTCCTGAGCGTCCACTTACAGACGGTCCTCATAAGGTTTTAGTTAAACCTGGAAATAAACAACAGAAAGTGGGAGTCAAGTTTATTTCTAGAGCACGTTTAAAAACAGTCAAAGCTGAACACAGCTCTGTACAAATCAAAGCATTAATAAACAGACAGGAGCAAATGTGATGGTAGAAACACAAACAGTGCAAATCAAATGCAAAAACAATAAAATATAAAAAGAAAATATGAAGTAATACAAATTTAGATGAATAGCTGGGCACTTGGAAAAAAAAACGTTTATGACTAAAACACAGAGCTTATATTCACGGTTCTGCAGTGTTTCTAGGTTTGTGTGAAAAGTAGCCTAAAAACACACTCAAAAGTATTAATACTTGGGTAAAATAATAACTGAAGTAAAAGTAAACAAACTGTCCCAAAACACAACTTTAGTAAACAGTGAAAAAGTATCAAGTCAAAAAACTGCTGAGTAACTAATAGAACTGCAGGGGAACTTCAGCATCTATCAGTACAGAAAATGAAGACTGTCAGACTTTATTCTTCTTTTTTTTATTCTTCTGGTCTAAAATAAAACGCTGAAGCTCTAAAGTCAGAGATGTGACCAATCACAGAGCAGAACAGACGTCAACAACAAAACAGAAATTAGACACAAAAAGTTGTCACAAACATGAGCAGCTACACACAGTCATTAAAGCAGGGCGACACACCACACAACTGCCATAAAAACCATTAAAAGAAATTGGGCTTAATGATTAAATGAGATGTTTCACACTCTGCACTACATCCAGTGAAACAGGGCTAATTGTGTTCTTTCATTAACAAAACAGGCAGCTGGTAAATTCTGTCAGTACCAACAATAATACAGACGCATGTTGTTAATCACTGTAAAGTGTATCACGATAAAGATGAATCACATATTGTCCAGTTCTAATTTGTGTTAGAAAAAAATGGAGAAAAGAACCCTTTTCAGTGGTGGTGAGTTTTGGACCCCGCTGAGCTGCGGGCTGTGTGGTGTCGGTGGGCCTGATAAGTGAAGGTGCACGTGTGCAGATGCCCGTCCTGCTGTGTGAATTACTGACGGAGCTCCAGCTTCTGTTCGAACGTCCTGCTCAAATGAGACTATAGCCTGAACTTCCCTCTTACTGCCGCGTCCGAGTTTCTGTGACAGACGGAAATATAAATAACGGGTCAGATGAAGAGAGGACGTTACGCTGGACTCGTAATGTGACCTGAACGTGTTACTGGATTCAGAAAAAGCCATTAAACTGAATTCATGGCCAGCGAATCAGAGACGCCGATCACATTCATCAGGGTGTGAAGAGTTATGAGCAGCGGCGGGGGGGGGTCTGGAGTTTCAGGTTAGAGCGCAAGATCCAGTTGTGTGTGTGTGTGTGTGTGTGTGTGTGTGTGTGTGTGTGTGTGTTTGTCTTTAGCACTTTGTGAGGACCCAGTGTCCCCATGATGCACATGTCAGTTTATCAGGTTCTCAGAAGGAAACACTGTTTTCACTACAAAAGCAACATTTATTGGATTAACTAAAGAGTAGAAAGATTAGCTCTTGTTTCCTGAGGTTAATTGTTGGGCTGGTGTTCAGACACTGTTTAGGTATAAATGGCAAATAAACAGACAGCCCTCCTGAGAAAAATGAGCCTAAACAGAGCTAACCCCACCCCCAAAAAAGAGAACGTTTACAGGGCGTTTATTAAACTCAGGAATAGAAGCAGAGGCCCTTTTTTGGCGCCCGCCTTCCTCAGTGAGTAAATACTCCGTAAGTTATGCAGGTGCTGTCCAGCGCTCCTCTGTGTGGTGTAGGTGTCGTATTACTGCACTAATACAGAGTCAATGAAGGTCCTCACTAGTATAACACCACCAGCGTGTGTGTGTGCGTGTGAGCGTGTGTGCGTGTGAGCGTGTGAGCGTGTGTGCGTGTGAGCGTGTGTGCGTGTGAGCGTGTGTGTGTGTGAGCGTGAGCGTGTGTGAGCGTGAGCGTGTGTGTGTGTGAGCGTGTGAGCGTGTGTGTGTGTGTGAGCGTGTGTGTGTGTGTGAGCGTGTGTGTGTGTGTGAGCGTGTATGTGTGAGCGTGTGTGTGTGTGTGAGCGTGAGCGTGTGTGTGAGCGTGTGTGAGCGTGAGCGTGTGTGTGTGTGAGCGTGTGAGCGTGTGTGAGCGTGTGTGTGTGAGCGTGTGTGTGTGTGTGAGCGTGTGTGTGTGTGAGCGTGTGTGCGTGTGAGCGTGTGTGCGTGTGTGTGTGTGAGCGTGTGTGCGTGTGAGCGTGTGTGTGTGTGTGAGCGTGTGTGTGTGTGAGCGTGTGTGTGCGTGTGAGCGTGCGTGTGTGTGTGTGTGCGTGTGTGTGTGTGAGCGTGTGTGTGTGTGTGAGCGTGTGTGTGCGTGTGTGTGTGTGAGCGTGTGTGAGCGTGTGTGTGTGTGAGCGTGTGTGCGTGTGTGTGTGTGCGTGTGTGTGTGTGAGCGTGTGTGTGCGTGTGTGTGTGAGCGTGTGTGTGTGTGTGTGTGTGTGTGTGCGTGTGTGTGTGAGCGTGTGTGTGTGTGTGAGCGTGAGCGTGTGTGCGTGTGTGTGTGTGTGAGCGTGTGAGCGTGTGTGTGTGTGTGAGCGTGTGTGTGTGTGAGCGTGTGTGTGTGAGCGTGTGTGAGCGTTCAGTGATGAATGGTGGAGATGAGCAGCTGGTGGAACAGAACTGCTGGTTGATATTATCTACAGATGGCAGAACTGTAGACTCGAGCCTTTTTTGGAAGCTCTCTGAACTGAAGGGGCTCATTTTAAGGAGGTCAGTCAGAAATTACAGCCTGGAACCATTAAAAAAAAAACTGGTAATAGTTACTCGGATGGTCCGCTGTAGATGTTTAGCTCGTAGATTCAGTGGTAAATCTATAAAATGTATTTTCTCTGATGTAAACCTAAACCTGAAACCTCACCCTGATCCTAAACCCAGCCCTGATTCTGATCCTCTACTCCGAACTCTAAAATTGTTGATCAGCTGAGTTTCTCTGGTTTATTAACATGTGCCGCTGTTATAGATGATCTACAGTTAAGCCTGTTACGATCATGACATTTGAGCTGATGATTAATTGCTGTGTAAATAATTTAATTGCCTTTTTTTTGTTCACCTGTTAATCCCTTAAAATCCTGTCTTATTACACACTGAGGCTGATTATTCAGTAACTACAGGGACTTCAGTGCAAACTGACTGAGCTGTGTTTAGATTATAGAAGTGTGTAATAAAACTCTGGGGTGGCCGGTTTTTCCTGGACATTTAAGGGGTTAAAGGTCGAGCCTAAAGTGTCCAGGTTGCTCTTTTGCTATCTCGCTTCATAGTTGTCGATACTTGGCAGCTCCCAGTTGAAAAACCGCTGAAGCTCAAATAAACAAACGTTGCTCAGCCCTGATTTTTAAAGGTATTATAGCACATTTTTGTTGTTTTTGCAAGACCCATAATGTGATATGCTTTCTTTTCCTTACATTCACCTGAACCCAGTGGAGAATACTAAAACAGTATATCTGTGGAAGATTATTGTGATTAGCTCACATAATAACTGTGTAATAACTGAACTGTTGGCTGTTCTATTACAGAATATCAAAATAAATTGGGGCTACAAAATGTTCTGAAACTGCTCACAGTTGAGAATGTTCCAGTTTTTTGAGATCCGGTTTGATGCCCTTTATAATGATGAGTGTGATCTTTCTCTGACCTTTCTCTCTATAACCCCACAGTCACTTTGAGCAGATGAAGGACGACTCCATCGTTTGCAACATCGGCCATTTCGACTGTGAGATTGACATGAAGTGGTTGAATGAAAACGCTGCTGAGAGGATCAACGTTAAACCTCAGGTACCCAACAAACATCAGCGTCCGAAGAGTAGCTGTGATCTTTATTCGTCACTTGCACGTATGCGGTTTGTTGCTCGTGTTCACGACTGTACGTGAACTTTTTGAGCAGGTAGAAAGGAGCAAGTTATAGCAATAAAATAAGAACATAATTTAGCATTTAGGTTTATTTTTTCAGTTATACAAAATTCATATATTCCCCATAAGGGGCCGGAATTAGCAGTCAAGTAGTTTTGTTGTGCGTCATTAAAAGAGATGAAACCCACACTCGCGGGGTTTTGCGTGTGGGTGCTGCTGGAGATTTTAAAACAGGACATTTATGACCTAAAGATAAAGCTCAGTGTTGTTTAATGTGTGAGTTTGTCTGTAATCAGGTCATTCTAAAAAGGGATGCAGGCTAAAGACAGTAGGTTCAGCAGAACAGTAGGGGGCGCCTTGGCCTCTGTATTAGAGCTGGCATTTTTCCAGCAGGCAAACTGTAAAACCCCAGATCATTGTTGGCTTTATATCTGGTAACATTTATTCATGTAGTATTTTAAGGCCTATCGTTTACAGTGGAGGTCTGCAGGGGACGGTTTTCAGTCCTGCTTTCGCTAGATTTCATCCCATTCCTGCAGAAAATCGGAATCATATGTCCTGCTTAGCTCCGTCAATGTGAACTGACTCCAGTATCTGGCACTGTCTGTTCACAAACACATGATTTTCTGCTGAAATAACAGGTCAGTCATGGTCATCAGGCTCACAGTGAATAACTTCACCAAACGCTGTTTATTCACCATTTAAACACAGAGCAGGAATTAAACCACAGAGCAGTTATTTTGGTGTTTTGCTGGGCAGCTGTGGCCGTCAGACTGAGGGCTCCGTCTCTGTGATCTCAGAGAATCTGCGTGTTGTTGATCGGCTGCTTTACAGCTCTTTAGAGACTTCATTCATTTTAACTGTTTTACTGTTATCATTTTATATTGTTTATATATGATTTACTGATCGTTCTACTTTATTTAGGCTGTTCATTAATTTGTGGGATTTCTCTTCATATGTGTTTTGTCCCTCTCCCGCCTGCAGGGGGCTGGTCACCCGCCCGCTCAGCACACAGCACTGAAAATTAGTCCACACTGTGAGATATTGTGGAGGGTCCCGTGAGTCCTGCATGAGCGCAGACCTCTATTTTACAGACGTGTTGATCCGTTCTAAAGTGTTTGTGCTACGTTATGGACTCAATCAGGACATGACGGCAGTGAGAATAGTTAAGGCGTTACGTAATTGACTTACCATGAACACTAGGAGGTGACAGAATAACTGAGTGGATTTATGAAAGCTACAGAGTTCCATCTGGGTTTTATATATTTGTACAGGATTAATATCTCCCAGCATGTATGACAGCACTGTCACACTGTACAGTCATGCTGAAACAGCTGGAGAGCTTTTAAAGTTATTAGGCAACACTATGGATAAAACCAACAACATGAGCAAAACCTTTTACAGTTTATCCAGAAACAGGTTTAAAATCACAGGCACACTGTGTACTGGACAACTAAAAAGAGTTAACTGTTGCACAAACCTTTAAGTTAGAGGTTAAATCATCAGTCATGCAAAAACCTCGTATCTCTACAGTTACTTGGAAAAATGTAGTTCCATTAAATTCTGTTACTTGCAAAAATTTGAACAGCTGTGAATTCTGACTTGGAACGAAGCATTTCACACCAAAGCGCTCTCAGTGATGTTCTTAACCTTGTAGTTATGCAGACAATTTTGAAAACTTGGTGGAATTCCCCTTCAAATGTGAAAGCTTCTAGCAATCAGATTATTTGGCACTGAATGAGATCATCTTCTCTGTTTGTGGTCTTTTGCCCAGCTACCGCCACCTGCCTTGGACTAGCTGCCCACCCTACACTGAAGTGGACTCCTAACTATTACTACTACTACTACTATTAATATTAGTAGTATAATAATTTTGTAGGTAGTTTGACCAGAGGAGGATGGGTCCCCCCATGTGAGCCTTGGTTCCTCCCAAGGTTTCTTCCTCAGCTCTGAGGGAGTTTTTCCTGGCTTGCCCACTTGGAGGATTTACAGTTCATGTTAAAACTTTGTCCTTAATGGATTTCTGTGAAGCTGCTTTGTGACATCAGTTGTAAAAAGTGCTATACAAATAAATTTGACTTGACTTGACTCTTTTCAGAACTTTGTTCTTCTCCCCACCAGGTTGACCGTTACCGTATGAAGAACGGACGTCATGTGATCGTTCTGGCCGAGGGGCGTCTTGTGAACCTGGGTTGTGCCATGGGTCACCCCAGCTTCGTCATGAGCAACTCCTTCACCAATCAGGTCCTCGCTCAGATCGAGCTCTGGACCAACACTAGCAAATACCCAGTGGGCGTGTACTTCCTGCCAAAGAAGGTAATTTTCACACCGAGTTGGTTCTGCAGTGTGTCGACTGTGTTGTGTAGGAATATTGTGCTGTATGAAAATCACTGTGCAGTTGCTGAACATCTGCATCCCGAACGTCCTCAGTAGTGTTGAGACCAGGCAGCGTTCAGTAATGCAAACTGAATCCATTCAGTGAAGATATAACATCATACAGCAGCATCCTGGCTGTGTTCATCTGAGTGTGTATAGACAGCAGCCGTGAAGGGAGATGTGTGGTCAGGTACACTGTGAGGTTTGGAGGTTCTTCAGGCTCTAATATGCCAGCAGAACCTTCACTTCACCATCACACGGCACCACCAGCCTGCACTGTTCAGACAGGCTCCACTGAGTCATTACTGCCCAAGTCTGATTCCTCCATCTGTCCAGACTGAGTGGACAGTGGACACTAACGCTGCTCCTGGAGATCTGCCTTCCTGCTTCAGCTCCAACCCTGTAGACCCACCTGATCCATCTACTCAGACGTACTTCAGACATCTTTGATCAGCTGAAGGAGGAATGTTAAATTTGTGTTGGAGGTGAAACTGCAGGAAGGTCTGTCTCAAGGAGCAGAGTTGGAGATCACTGGTCTAGAGCACAGGTTCCCAGCCCTAGTCCTGGAGAACCCCCTGCCCTACACACGTCAGATTATCATTAAAAAAACATCTGGAATCGCAGAGACAATCAAACAAAAACCTCATAAACAGTTTATAGCGTTTTGCTCAGTAACTCACAAAAGACATGACTTTTCTGTTTGTTTTGGCTGCTGCGTTTGTGCAGATCCTCACAATGAGTTGGGCTTTCCCTGCTCGCCGCGTAACCAGCGAGCTGATTGGCTCGTTTTACTGAAGAGCGGGACTTTCTCCACAAACAGACGCCATGTTGAGCGTTAAGAGCCCCACTCATATTTCAGCCAGTGACCGTCTCCTCCTCCTTTATAATGTCTCTGGCTGTGCTATGCTATACTACACTGTGCTGTGCTGTGCTATGCTATGCTATGCTATGCTATGCTATACACTGATAATGGACTCGTATTTTCTGCAGTCATTTTCTTGGTTTGGTCCAGTTTCTTACACGAAATAAGGACTTTTGTGTGCCTGTAAATGAAGTTATTACCCAACATGGTTCTTGGCTGTTGTAGTTCAAGACAAACTTAAAGTTCAAGTTTAGCTGCAGCCCCTCAGCCCCCCCACTTCCTGTGTTCCGGTGTGTGACTGTGCATAAATATGTGACAGTAAATGTTGGTGTATGAGTATTACTGAACCTGACTGGATGTGTGTGCAGTTTTAACCCCCCCTCTCTTTTGATGTTCTGATAACTGTAGCTGGATGAAGAAGTAGCTGCTGCCCACCTGGACAAACTGGGTGTCAAACTGACGAAGCTAACAGACAGTCAAGCCAAATACCTGGGCCTGCCCCGCGACGGACCCTTCAAACCCGACCACTATCGCTACTGAGGAGCTCCTGCCAGCGGTCAGCTTCTGCGGTCAGCCAAAGTATGTGGACAGGTAGTGACTGCTCAGGTGTGAGACGCCCCTCTGCCTGCGTTCAGATCTAATGGTTAGACTTCTGTAAACATGCTCCCTCATCTTCACCGTAGAAACTAAACTCCACTGAACTCTGGTCAGTCTATCACTAGCATTTCCTGCTTCAGCTCATAGTTTTGTTGAATCTACATCAAGGTTCTGCCTTTATTAGTGTTATTTGAGCCCATTGGGGTGGGGGGGTCTTTGCTCCCCACTACAGTGGATTCAGTATTGAGTCTTAATGCCTTATTCAGGAAGTAATTTCACTGTTTTGTGTGGAACAGAAACCTTTCTGTAAACACTGTAAAAGAATTCTTCTGAAAACGAGTTACTGGTGACTCCAGGTTTTTGATTGCCAGCCATAATTTTGTGATTCTGAAGGGGGGGAGGGGCTCAGAAAGTTTCAGTATGAAATACTGTATGATGTGTTTCAGTAAAACCTTTTTACAGCAAAATAAAGAACACACTGTACTTCAACTGTGTTTTGTTGTATTTCTCTTTATTTTTAATAGTGAGATTTGTGACTTTAATACCCAATTTTAATATTTGAATTATCTAGAAGGGTCCTTTATTGGATTAACGCAGAAGAAATAATCAAACTATCAAAATTCTGCATAATTAAGTGGTTAAGATGTGATCAGACTGGTTCAGAGTGGTTTGGTGGTGATAGGAACCAGACGTCCACCTCTAAAAGCTCCCTCACAGAAAGTTCCTACATGAAATGGTTATGAATTCACTGCCTGATGACTGAGACACTGTTTTATGATAGTTTTGTGATAAAGTTTAAAATGCTTGAAATGTATTCTAACCAATCTATTCATGGTGGAGGGATACATGCAGGGCGCTGTGAGGCAAAATAGTCCCCAAAGAAAACGTATTATTTCAGATGTTCCACTGTTTTCCATCATCAACATTCCATATAAACTCAGAAGACTCGTGTAGGTTCACTGGTGGTTCTGGATAGTAAATAAAATGTCTATATTTGTGTTGTAGTCATGGCGACCCCTGGTTCCTATCACCACCACTGTAAAGACATCTGAACCATTTCACACCAAACCGCTCTGAATCTCTCTGATTACATCTCACACACTGAATTATGGGGGAAATTTGAAAAATCAGTGGAATTTAGTTATGAAGATTCCAGATGATCAGTTTTACATTTTAAGTGTAACGTGTTTATCGCTGGTTTACAGTGTAGGTGAACGCAGAGACGCTTTACGGTGTAATTCGGTTTATTTAGGCGCACGGGCGAGACCTGGTACTGCTGATGGAGAAAAGGACGAGTCTGTAAATAGTCGGACATTCTTGGCCATTAAAAGGGCCAAAACAAATCCCCTGAGACACCTAAGGATGGAACTTAAGGCTCTTTCCTCTCTCTCACGGCACAATGGGAACCATCTGTGGCATCTGCAGCCTTAATCATGGTTTCCTGGGCACAGATTAAGACTAGTCCTAGGTAAATTATCCTGTCAGTGGTCATTCCTCATTCAGGTTCATTTTTACTGTAGGACTTTGTTTAATCTGGAGGTCACTGTGTGTATGAATTCCATCTGCTTGGTAGTCTGAATGTATATGAGGCTCATTATATTAACTACAGCAGTGGTGGCTCAAGCTTTGGGACCTTTTTTAAATAATTGATGGACGTCTGCAGGACACTGTACAGACACAGCACCGACTGCTATCGTCAGCGCTTTATCGGTCAGTTTCCTGTAAGACTTCCTTTTTCTTTTCTTTGCTTTTGCTGCAGTGCAGATCTGATGGGTTTTTGTTTCCTCCAAAAAGGTTTATTTCACAAATTTCTGCTGCGCTGTGCAGAGTCATCACAGCAACAGCCCATACTGGACTCAGCTGTGTATTGGGATTGCCCTGACCAGCCTTATTGGTCAAGATTGATGAGATTAACCCTCTGAGGTCGACGGTGTTGTATAAAACATTGAATGATGACATTTTTTGTTAAGTTGGGTTTTTAGGTTTCACTGAATAAAGGTAAATTAAGTTTAGAGTTGCCCAAGTCTGCGTTTACATTAATCTAACAAACATTTTAGTTATTCTAACGTTCAGTGTTCAGTGTCTTAAGTAAATTGAACTTGCTGGTTTGTTAAATCTTTTATGCTTCACTTTAATAATTTGAAGTTATGTGAGCTTATTTGGGTTTACAGCCTATGGTCACCCACTGCTGACACAACTTGTATAATCTCCATAGAAAGTACTGACTGATAGAATGGGACACTCTGGATCGGCTGGACATGATCCTAAGGTCTCCATGCCCAGTGCCAAGCGTGGGCTAGAGGGGTATAAAGCCCCCCAGCATTGGGCTGTGGAGCAGTGGAACTGTGTTCTCTGGAGAGATGGAGCTCCATCCAGTACCTTTGGGATGATTATTGATCCAGAACTGACCATCCAACATCAGTACCTGACCTCACTAATGCTCAATCAAATACTCACAGCAATGTTCCAACATCAGCACCTATACTGTGAAAAATGTTTCTTCAGTTAAACCTAAAAAAATGACTTAATGTAGTAACGAGTAAATTAACTAGTTTTATTCAACCTAAATAAATACTTTTGAACAATCTTCGTTCAAAACAATCATCTTTCAATCACAGTACTTTTTTGTGTTGTTCAGCTGCTGCCAGCGTTACTGGACAGTACAGCCTCCGCAGCACTGATGATATTAACCCTCTAAGGTCGACGGTGTCGTAGGAGACACTGAAGCACGTTGCATGTTAGAGACTTTCGCCCAGAATGGTAGTATTTATTATATTTACTCTTTCATGTGCGACATCCTTTAATGTCATATATGACGTCTAGCAGAGGGTTAAAGCTGCACTATGTAAGATTTGTGTGTTAAAACTGAAAGTAGTGTCGTTACTGAGTGAGAAGAATAAAATCAGGCTAAAATATGGTGAGTCTGCGCTGCTGAGAGTCGCCTGGAAAGCCTGGAATAATCATTTAAAACTTCGTAGAGTTTTTCACACCACGTCGACGTCCTTCACCAAGTTGTTGGTGAGGTTGTGTTTATGCAGGCCAGAGAGTTTGGGGCGGTGTGTGTTGGGGTGGAGGGGGAAGGTTGGGGGGGGGGTTGAGGAGGAGGAGGGGGGAGGTTGAGGGGGGAGGTGGGGGGGGTCAGGTTGGCTCACAGCTTTCACCATATTCAGGTTTTTATCAGCACCTCGCTGGTTCTGTGAGGATCAGACTGACAGAGATGAAGAAGTAGATCCATTTTTTAACTCTGCGTCCAAATCTGTCATCTGAAATAAGAAAGTGAACACAGATCACTGTTCAGGGCAGAGTAATCAATCACCGCCTCAGGATTCTTCTACGCTGTCTGAGTCCAGCTGTTTTAAGGTCACTCAGCTTGTAGAATCTCCATAGAAAAGCACTGACCAGTTGACTGCACATGCAGTATACATGACACTCTTAGCAAACAGGGTTCTGTATAGTACCAAAAAAAGGTTCTTTGGCTTGTAACAATAGTGGAACCTTTTTTAGTGTTATATAGAACCCTTTTCAACAAGGTGATATGTAGAACCATCTACAGCACATTCTCCATCAGTCTGAAGAACACACTGATCATGCACATGGTTCTATGGGTGTTAATGTTTCTATATAGAATCCTTTTCTTTTCTAAAGAACCCTTGAAGAACTGTCTTTTCTAAGAGTGTGTGATGCAGTTGGCTGACGTCTTTTGATCCGCGTCTCTCTCTGGTGGAGTAACAGCTCTAACTCAGGTGTCAGTTTGTTTTGTGCTGGGAAGGAAGAGCTCCATCATCATCATCGTCCCTCTGTGTTTGTGAGAGACCAACTCTGACCTAATATGATTATCATGATTATAACGGACTGTTCTGTTATTAGATGATGACAGAACCACATAAAGACAGACTGACATGAGCAACACTCTAATGATCTACACTCTGCAGAGGAGGACCTTCAGTGTGATTTCCGGGTGTTGAGAGGGAAACTCAAATAAGAGTGCAGCACAGAAACTCAAATACAACAGCAAGTGAGAGTTCAACTGTAGCAGCATCAAAAGTAAACAAACCACAGACGCCTCAGAAAACAGCTCGAGACTTCAGCTGAGAAGGGTGAGTTCCATCGCTACGCTGTCGTACCAGGCAGCTCGGTTCGATCTGCTCACTCACAGGAAAGAGGGATGAACGCTAAAGGAGAGCGCTGTACAGACTCAGCAGGACGCTGGTGTTAGTGTTACTCCAGTGGTGGAATAATTACTCAAAAATTAATCCAAAATAGTTTTATATAGTTATAAATAGTTAAGTAACAGTCGACAACTGAAAAGTGTAAAGGGGTAGCCTTACAAATACAGATATAGATACGTGCTGTACTGTAATACTGTAATCGTCCTCAGTACAGTGATTATAGCAGACTGAGAATACCTGTACAACATTTACGGCCACACAGGTCTCAATTCTGTCAAGAATCCAAAATCTCTGTACGTTAAAATTAATAGTGAACCAAAACTGAATAATCGACTTTTATCTGCAGTAAAAGCAGAGAACAGCACTCTGCTTTGATTTAGTCTAAAACTTTTTCCAACATTTAGTAAACAAACGGCCGGGTCTGGGATATAATTAAGATTCTTTTATTAAAAGACACTTTTAATAAAGTAGTTTAACAATTTTAAAAAGTCTGAAATAGGCTCAGATTTAGAAAGTGTCTGCTGTGTCCTGTAAGGTGTTTAATAACATCTGTGAATTATTTTCTATTAGATTACCTGATGATTTTATAAGTGAGAGTTAAGTTACGGCAGATATATTTGCCGACCATGAGGTTCAAGATCTCTGTCCCGAACATTCAGAGGTCTTTGGGGTGTGGACATTGTTTCATTATGAATTTTAGAGAGTAGAACTGTTCTTATTCACTGTCAGTGCACTGTGTACATTAAACACTGAGGAATGATGGAAAACGCCACTCTGCATGGACCTCTTAACATGTTATAAAATGTTTTAACAGGTTTCTGCCACAATAACAAAGACTCTCAACACGGGGACATGTTCCTCATCTCCTCGGACTAAAGTGTGAAACATCATAAAATTCTGATCTCTGACCATTTCCTCTCATGTTTAGCTGAACCAGGTGAGCAGCTGCCGTCTTTGCTCTCAGATTCAGGGTCATGCTGTGATCAGACTACACAATATTTCTGTCTTTCTCCATGTCAGATTAGGCATTAATAGTGCCATAAATCTGCGCCGTGTCTTTGTCAGGAGACTGGCAGCACGACAGTTTTGATGCTGACCAATCACAAGTTCATAGGTCATTAATAAACAGTCAATCATGGCTGCAGAGGCGCTGAGTGTGATGCTGGCAGTTTTGTGCTCTGAAAATAAGGAGAAAAGAAAGAAAGTGTGATGGTGAAGCCGTTCCTGGGTGTCAGAAGAGCAAAGTATGGGTTCCTTCAAAGAGAACCTGAGGTAATGAATGTGTTAACATGTCAAGAACATTATATAAATGTAGCTACTGGGTT